GTTATTTTATTTTTATTTTAAATTTTTTAAAATTTTTACTTATTTTTCTCTTACCTGTTTCCCGATTCTTTCTCTTCTGCTAATAGCCAATCTCTATTCTCTTGTACTCTTCCTTCAATTTTTTTTACTTCTACTTCTGTCCTCCTTCCTCATAATCACCACATCTATCACTTCTGATTTCTCCCTGTCCACCATTTGAAACTGTAAACCCTTTTACAAACTTGCTGTTTTATTGCAGGCAATAACTGATCATATCATTTATTTATTGTGATAATTAACATTGTAGACATCATAACAGGAACTACTTGATTTTGTGCTGTTTATTGTTTGCATTGGTTGTTGTTATTATTTGTTTCCACCTAAACAGTAAGGTACTAAAAACCTTTGGGGACATTGTAAGTCCACAGGGTATAACCTACTGCCTCAGATCCATGCTGTTAGATGTGTAGACACACAAATAACATGAAAAAGCAAGGGAACAAATCGTCCCAAACAAACCAAGATACTCCAATAACAGAATCCATTGATACCACAGTGGAAAAAATGTCAGAGAAGGGGTTTAGAAAAAGTAGTTCAAGGACCTAGGCATTAGACCAGAGACTGTGTGCCTACTAGAAGAAAAAGCTGACCCAAATCTCCATCATGTGGGCTTAGGAACCGAAGTCCTCAACAAGTCTCCAAAAGTGCAATCAATGGGATGGTATCAAACTAAAAAGTTTCTTCACAGCAAAGGAAACAATCAAGAACATGAAGAGAGAGCCTAGAGAATGGGAGAAACTCTTTGCCACTGCACCTCAAATAGAGTATTCATCTCCAAGACATATACAGAACTCAAAAAACTTAACACCAAAAAAATAAATAACCCCCAATCAATAAGTGGGCAAAGGAACTGAACAGACACTTCACAGAAGAACTATGATCTGTCAGGTCAACAGATATATGAAAAAATGCTCAACATCTTAGCAATTAGAGAAATGCAAATTAAAACTACACTGAGATTTCATCTCACTTCAGTCAAAATGACAATTATCCAAAATACAAGTAATGAGGGCTGGGGTTGTGGCTCAGTGGTAGACCACCTGCCTAACGTGTGAGGCAGCAGGCTTGATCCTCAGCACCAGATAAAAATGAAGATATATAAAAAAAAATACAAGTAATGATAAATGTTGGTGAGGATGTGGGGAAAAGGTACACTTATACATTGCTGGTGGGAATGCAAATTAGTACAACCACTCTGGAAAGCAGTATGGAGATTCCTCAGAAAACTTGGAATAGAACCACCATTTGACCCAGTTATCCCACTCCTCAGCATATACTAAAAGGACTTAAAATTAGGACACTATAGTGACACAGCCACATCAATGCTCATAGCAGCTCTATTCACAACAGCTAAGCTATGGAACCAATCTAGGTGCCCTTCAATAGATGAATGGATAAAAAAAATGTGGTACATATACATAATAAAATATTACTCAGCCATAAAGAAGAATAAAATTATGGCATTTGCCAGTAAATGGATGGAACTTGAGGCTATCATGCTAAGTGAAATAAGCAATCCCCCCAAAATCAAAGGCCTAATGTTCTGATATGCAGATGCTGACTCATAATAGGTGGGGGTGAAGAGTTGGGGAGGTGGGGAGTGGAGGTTCACCAGATTGAACAGGGGGAATGAGAGAAAGGGAGGATGGCAAAGACAGCAGAATAAATTAGACATAACTTTCCTATGTTTATATATGAATACATGACCAGTATAACTCCACATCATGTACAACCACAAGAATGGGAACTCCATGTATGTATGCTATGTCAAAATATATTCTACTGGTGTAACTAAAAAGAATTAAGAAAAAAACAAGTAACTACTGTGAAATCTCAGTTTCCTCATCTGTAAAAAGGAAGAAGTGAATCAGATCACTGTCAAGGCTGTTTCTACCTCTAGAGTATATAATTCTACATGCTCTTTTAGCCTATATTCATCCAGAGTTCACATTTAGAACATGGCCTACACTTTTGCTGATTTCTGTCAATAAAGAGAAATAGAGCAAACATCTTAAAAATAAAAACACTGACATAAAAAATTCCACACATTTGAGCCAAAGACACAATGACCTAGAGCCACGCATGACACAGTTGTCAGCCCAGAAAATCAGGTCAACCAGGAGAACAACTTGGACCAATTCTCCTTAGTACAGATGTAACAGAACAGAAGTCCAAAGATTGAGTTTCTAGTCCTACTTCGCCATTGCAAGTTTAGAGTCAGAGCACCCAGAGGTCAAATACAGTTCTACCACTTACTGACCCTGAGTCTTAATTTTTCTGGGATTCAGTTTCTTCCTCAGTTTCTTTATAGGGGGAGTATGTCATCTCATAGAATCACTGTAAGAATTAAAAACGTATATTTAAAGCATTTATGACAGGGATTTTTTGCCTATTTCTTTTACTCTGTGATGGAAATAATGCTTGCCCTGGGTTCCTCATAGTATACTGAGAAAATTCAAATGAGAAAGTTGGAATTACCCAACACGAAAATTAAAAGGAACCACATCCTATAAATTTTAACCTTTAATTATTTTTCCTCCCCTTCTATTTCTTACCTTCTCTCCTAGCAAACCCTGGTATAGGTTACTTCTCATCCTACTACAATGATCTCCTAACCAGCCCTCTAAATCTCCTCTTACCTTTTCAGCCTCTCCCTACTCCACTCTTACACAGCAACAAGACATATGTGCACTCAGAATAAAATCCAAACTTAACATGGCCTTCGAGATAAAAAATGGCTTGAGAGACTTAAATTTATATTTGCCACTTTCTCTTTTGCTTATTTTTCATATTTGGTAGTCACCCTCCTTATTGCCTCTGGACTTTCACACGCACTGTGATCCCACCACCCTTGCCCCCTAGTTAATTCTTAACTCTTCATTTCAAAGCTCAATTAAAATATCACTTGTCCAAGGACTAAAATAAGCCAGGTCCCTCTGTTATGTTGTCTCAAGGCACTCTGTGCATCTTCATAAAACTCATAATCACTGTAGTTAAATACTGAGGTTTATAGTTAGTTGTTTAATGTCTGTCTCTTCTATTAGTATGCATATTAGTTCCATAAGGGCAGGATCATGTTCTTCACTGTAATTCACAGCCTGGGATAGTGCCTGACACATGCAAGTACTCAATAAATATCAGCTGAGGAGTAAATGAAGGGTTATCTTATCCAAATGTCACATTTTGCAGATTAGGAAACTATGATTAGTATATGTCGAGTGACTTTTGCCTAAGGCTTAAGAACCAAGAGTTCTTACTCCCAGGCAAATGTTCGTCTCACTACACTTAACTCTGAGGTTCCTTCCAGCTCTAGCATTCTGTTCTCTGAAAATCCAATAAAGGAGGTGAAAACATTTTACAGATGAAAGATAGTTCATTGCTCTATTTTCTGCTTTTGTCCAGGGCACCTTCAGGGCACTTATATTATCGTTTCTCTCCTCCCATTAAATTCAACATACATTTATTAAATAATCTAGCAGGCAAGACAGATAATTTCTGTAAACAAGGAATTACATTTAATAAGGTCAATGCAATGGTGAGATGGATGATCTACAGAGAAAGTACGATTTATCAATAATTACTCTTTTCAGGGAGTAGCAAAGAAAGGTATCACAGAAGCGATCCTTGAGATAAGTTCTGAAACCAAATAAGACTTTTCCAACTTAAGAAAACATTCCAGACAAAAGGAACAGCACATGTACAGAGGTTCTGCATCCGTAAGCACATATTTAGTGTGCGCCTACCAGTGTCGGGACCTACAAGCAACCTTCCCTACATACTGAAAGTGCATGTTTTACTGAACTCTACAAAATCATATTGTTAGGGGTTGCAACAGAAAATAAATAAATAAAAAGGAGCTGGAAATATAGTGACAAGAAGGGTCAGATTGGAGAACTTTGTATGCCACGCTAAAAGGCACGTACTCTGATCTTCAAGCATGGAAAGCCATGGAAGACTTTTGAGCAAGGAAGTGGTAACCTCAGATTTGTATTTGTTTATGAGTATCCACACAGTTGAGATCATTCCCTAGACCCAAGGAAAACATCAGCAAAACTGCCTCCAAAATCTGCACGGGCCAAACCAAACTCTTGTGACTCCTAATCTTATTAGATCCTCACAAGTCGCGGAGATGGCTAAGCAGTACTCACTATTCAACTGTTAAAGAGAGCCTGCAAGACGGTTTTTCCACAAATGCCTGGCGCTCAGGCCTGGCGCCACAGGCTCCCAGACCCCGCCCCAGGCCTCCCACCCTCCGACTGGGGCCCGCTCACCTCTGCAAATTCTCGATTTCGGCTGGGATGCTCTGCAACTGGTTGCCGCCCAGGCTGAGGGTCTGCAGCGCACGCAGCTCCAGCAGAGAGGCGGGCACCTCCTGGAAGCAGTTGCCGCTGAGATTGAGCACTTGGAGGCTGTGGCGGAGTGGCGACTCGGCCAAGCCCTTGGGTAGCGCGCCTGACCCGCCAAGCCTGTTGTTTCTTGCCAGCAGCGTGCGCAGGCCGGTCAGCGCAAGCAGTTCTGATCCCAGCGCGGTCAACGCGTTACCACTCACGTCCAGCAGCTGGAGGTGCTGGAAGCCACTGCCCAGAGCCCGTGGCAGTGACACCAGACGGTTATGGGGCAGCAGCAGCCGCAGCAACGCCTCTCGAGAGCCGCGCCGCTCCTCGCCGCGCGCCTCCAGCTCCGACTCCAGCGTCTCAGCGGACACACTGAGGCGGGACCAGTTCAGTTCCGCTTCTCCGGTAGTGGCCACCACTGCTCCGGCCTCCTCCATCCGGGCCGCCGGACGGCGCCTGTCTGGCGCCGGCTTCCGCAGAGCGCCGCTCGCGACCCACAGGCCAAGAGCTCGGCGGCGCCCCGGAACCTGAACCCAGCGCTGAGTCGGAAGTGGCGCGGCAGGCGCTAACCCTGCGCGCCCCGGAGGAGTCACGCGACGCGAGGCGTCGGGTGCGCGCGCTGCTCGGGGGCGGGCTAAGCCTCACGTGGCGCGCGGCGTGGACCGTCTACGTCCAGCTGCGGGAGGCCTTGGGCCACCTGGGTGTTTTCTGAGCCTGGCGGATTTCGGCAGCCGCGATTTATAACCCCTGGAGTCCAATGACCTATCCAGGACTGCCTCCGTAAACAACCCAAGAACTGCGTATCTGGGCTTGAAGGTTCGCGCGTCACGGTGCGACACCCACTCATTTGTGGGTTTAGAAGTTGGGCACCTAGTCTAGTATTCTGTGAGAATACGGCCTTGACCGCAAACCCCGGGAATTTAAAGTCTGGAGAACAGTAAAGCCCTCTTCAAAGGGTGGAGGCAGCTGGATTAGAATCAGAACCTCTGGATTCTTACTTAGTTTCCATCCTTGGAAAGGAATTTTATTTGATTTCAGTTGTCCCGTCCTTCAAGTATGGAATACTTGCTTGCTCTTCAGTATTTTGTTGCTTGTGATGGTGTTTTCTGTTTTTTGAAAAAGGTATAACAAAAGTATCGTGCACCAAGTAAGGACTTTTGCCCATCGTAATTGGAGAAGCACGTCTGTGGTTTTTGGTCTAAGTTATGGTGACTAGGAATGCATTTAGGAAGTCAATAGAGGAAGTTCCTTGATTTGAGATAGCTCAAAATAATTAGTCGAGAATTCAGAAAGTATTAAGATTTTACTGCAAGTTGAAATTACAGTTTAACTGGGAAAATCCTAACTCTGGCATTAATTTAGTAATTCCAACTAACATATTTTCATCCTTGTCCCAAATTAATTTTTTTCCTGAAATTACATTTTGTAATTTACAGAAATGAGAAAAAAAATACATAGCTTTTTTTTACAAGCCTTATGCAAATGAAAGTTAATAATTATCCATAATCAATGCCAGTAAGCTGCCTTCCTCTTAATAAAGTAACACATACCCTCTTTTTTTGTACCAGAGATTGAACTCAGGGGTGCTTAATCACTAAGCCACATTCCCAGTTCTTTTTTTGAAACAGGGTCTCCCTCAGTTGCTTAGGTCCTCACCAAGTTGCTGAGGCTGGCCTCCAACTTGCAGTTCTCCTGCCTCAACCTACCGAGTTGCTGGGATTGCTGATGTGTAATACCATGCCTGGCGAAAGTAGCTTTTATTCTTGACAGTCATTTGTATGAGAAACTTTAAATCCTCCTACTCTATAGCCAAACTTTTAATTTCCAATTGAGTTGTGGTCATGGGAAATTATACTTTATCAATTTAACACTCCATGGATAGAATGTTTTTAAAAACCAACAAGTGACCTACAAGTATCTTTTTAAAAAGTGTTCTTTAAAGAATGTACCTTATTGGGGTCAGAACCACATTTTAGTACTGACTCTAATATGTGAAATTGAAAGTATTTCAAATAATACAGTTTTGTTCTTAAAAATGTCTTTGTAATAAAAAAAAAAGTAAAATGACAGGAATGTACCATAAACTAAGAAAATAATTTGAATGTAGAAATAAGAGTTAAGATTGCAAATCAATAAAACTAATGGTGCCAAGATAACCTCAATAATAGTGAATGAGGCTACCTGGTAAAAAGTAAGGGAACTCAAGCTTAAAAATTTTGATGTCTTGTATCACACAGAAAGTGACAGGCAAAATAGAAATTCAGCCTTAGTTCTGTGTGACTCCAAAGTTCATGATTTTTCCATTATACCACACTGCTGTCTTGAATCTAGTTTATTCTTTATTCAAAGCAATAATAAGATCTTACAAATGTGTGTAGTCAGTATTACAAATGGCATTTATCCATTTATGATACTTGAGAATATTGTAATTGTTAGAATCATAGGGCACTTGTTTAGGGGATTAGGGATTTTGTGGACTTCAGAACAGAACTGAGGTAGAATCACTTAGTTGAAAGGCACTTGAACAAACAAAATTTGGGATGTCATGCTTGAACCACATGACCCTGGTGGGCATCTGATAAAGGTGAGCCCATCAACAGACTTTCTGGTGGCTTACTACTTGTAAGGCAGTATCCAAATGAAGAGGAGCAATGGTGTGTGTGTTTCTCATTCTTTCCAAGAATGTAATTCAAGGAACTCATAGGGAAATTGCAGTTATTAGCAGACCAGGAAGAAACAGACATGTGTAACATGGCTAATTTTTGTCAATTGTGAAACCTAAATACAAAGATTCATAAAATACAGTTCTTAAGATGGACCTTAGCAGAACCATCTTATATCCAGAATGACCCGGAGGTGCAGCTTCATTGAGGCCAGCTCTGTTAAGATCTGGATTAATGTGATAATCTCCTAATTGTAATAACCCTCTATGTCTGAGCCACCATGTTTGTTTCTCTCTTCAGCCAGATAGGTCTACATTAAGCAGAATCTGCATCCTTACAGTGGACCTTGAAACCATCCAGTCAGCCTAGAGAGTAATAAAAACTCTTCAGGGAGGTGAAGGAACTTTGGTTGCTTTGGGCCCTCACAGTGTTAGGTGTGTGGCTAGCTGAAGGAAATATGAAGGAGGGCAGAGGAAGGATTGGAGAGTGTGAAGGACTAATGGGATAACAATGCATTATCTAGGGTTAAGTTTAACACCCATCACTGCAAATCCTATTTCTCTTAATCTTGATCTTGTCAATCTCTTTAACCCTTTATTTCGCCATCTCATTATTCAGTATATTATGTTTTATAGGATCATTTTAAGGCTTAAATCTAAAGTGCTTAACTTACCACCTAGCGCAAAGTACTCCATAAGTAGTGACAATTATTATTATTATTATTAGCTGTAATAATAATAGTAGTCAGTCACTCTTTGCTACATGTTAGATCATGATCAGGGTAAAGAGAAAGTTGAAATAATCTTTACTTATGATTGGGCAATTTCCTAAATAAACCATAGCTCTCTTCTCCTTACTATTCCATGCTTAAGGGTTAAGGATTTGAGAGGTTGGTCCAAACTCTCCTTGCCCCAGACTTATGCTTATTGTCCTATTTATCTCCAAGTTATATGAAGACCACATGCCTCCAAGTCTAGATTCCTACCTCCCTTCTAGGAATTAGCACTTAGAAAATAACTAATAGATGTTATCTATTACTTTCTGTAATAGTTATACCTTCTGATTCTGATTAGCTTCCTAAAGCACTGCTGCTTTTCTTTTTTTTTTTTTTCAGTTCATATCTTTCCTTTCTGCTTTGACCCCATATCTCTTCACTGCTTATCAGATGAAGGTCAGTTGTTTAGCCTGTGACTCAACATTTTGAATTATTTCTACTGCTGAATCCCTCTCACTCTGGCTTATCCATATTGCCCAAGGACGGTTTAAAATTCTGTGTTCTTACCATAGTAGGAAAAAGAATATTGATTTTTTTATTTCAAATCTCAAAAACAAAACAAAATCAAAGACAATAATTATCTGTTAAGGCAGTATTGAAGGCAGAGGGAGCTCTAGGCTTCCAATCCATCATGAGGAGTCAGTCATCTTTTGTGTTTATAGACGCCTAAATTAAGTTTTCAACCTACCAGTTAAGATCTGCCAGTTTGGTTATCAGCAGTTACTTCCTTCGCTGCAGTTTGCTCCTCAAGAATTGATAGATTAAGATGGCTTCCTGATATGAATTACAGTGGATGGGGTAGAGAGAGAAGATGGGAGGGGAGGGAGGGGGGATGGTAGAGGATAGGAAAGGTAGCAGAATACAACAGTTACTAATAGGGCATTATGTAAAAATGTGGATGTGTAACCGATGTGATTCTGCAATCTGTATTTGGGGTAAAATTGGGAGTTCATAACCAACTTGAATCTAATGTATGAAATATGATATGTCAAGAGCTTTGTAATGTTTTGAACAACCAATAAAAAAAATTAAAAAAAAAAAAAAAGATGGCTTCCTGAATATTTTTACCCAAAACAGGCTTCTTTTGAAGTTTGAGCTCTCTTTATTTTAAAGACTCAAATAACGATGATATTTTTGGATCTGGGTATCTTTGTCTAAGCATATGTTAGAGCTGTGAAACCATCCTCGTGACTACTCCCATTGAGTTCCTTCCATTTAGGGACTTAGAAGACTTAGAAGACCGTAGAAAAGTCTTGTTTGGGGAGTTTGAGCAAAAAAATAGAATTAACCCAAATATCCATCACCTGATAAAGGATGAATAAGAAGTATCTTAATTTTATCCACTTGCTCAGTCTATGTTCCATAATTAGGGTGTTTGAAATTTCCTAGAAAGCTAGTCATAACTTTAGCAATAAATTACTAAATAATTTAGTCTCCAACTTTGTTCACCCTAAATACCTAAATACTATACTAAATATATTTACATTATGAATTATAATCTTATTTTGATTATAATTATAACATATAAATAGAAAATACTAAATACTAAATTCTCACTAAATACCTGTTGTTTAAGAAACTGAACTATTCTATTAGAAAGTATAACTATTATAGAAAGTAATAGATAACATCTACTAGTTATTTTCTAAGTGCTAAATACTGTGCTAGGGGCCTTGGAGTCATTATTTTATCTAATCCTCACATTAATTTTATAAAGTAGGTTTTATTATCCCCATTTTACAGACAAGAAAACAAAGGTATGGAAAAATTAATTGGCCAAGTCATACAGTTATGATGGAGTTGGATACCAACATACTATAAACAGATGGAGTTGGATACCAACATACTATAACAGTGTTCATGGTTTTATACAGATAAAATCACTGCCTTTAAGAGATTCGCTGTGTAAGAACAGAGCAAACATGAAACCATTGAGAAAAAAAAAAAGTTTTAAAAAGGAAAAGGATCTGAATGGACTTTTTTCAAAAGAACATAATACAAATCATCAATGAGCACATAAAAACATAATCAGCATCATTAACCATCAAGAAAATGCAAATAAAAATGCCAGTATGGTACCATTCATACCCACTAAGAGTGCTAAAATAAAATTGATAATGAATGCTTGTGCAGATGTGAAGAAATCACAACCCTCATGGACTGATGGTGAGATGAAAAGTGATATAGTCACTTTGGAAAACAATCTGGCTCATTGTTTTTAAACAATCTGGCTCATTGTTTTTTAAAAAAGGTTTTAAAAATGGAGTTACCATATAACTCAGCAGTTCCATTCCAAGATACAGACCCAAGAAAAATGAAAATTGTCGTCATTAAAATTTGTACATGAATGTTTATAGCATCAGTTTTTCCATAGCAAAAAAATAGAATTAACCCAAATATCCATCACCTGATAAAGGATGAACAAGAAGTAATGTGTTCATACAATGGGACATTATTCAGCAATAAAAATAAAGTACTGATACAACTTGGGTGAATCTTGAATACATTATGCTAACATATAGGTGAAAGGAACCCGTCATTAAAGAACTCATTGTGTGATTTTATTGATATGAAATATCCAAAACAGGCAAATCTGTGGAGACAGAAAGTAGATTAGTGGCAGCCAAGGGCTAGAATGAAGGGAAAAGGGGATTGAGTGCTAGGAGGTACAGGGTTTTTTTGGGGGGTAGTGACATTGTTCTTATACATTTTGATGGTGGTTGTATCACTACACTAAAACCCACTTAACTGTACACTTTAGGTAAATTGTCTAGTATATTAATTATTTTAAAAATTAACCCAAAGTAACTAAAATATAAAGTAGCACTTGTAACTGTCATACAGAGTCAAATATTATCAAAATTCAGAGAAAAAGGATCATTTGGCCTGCTGTAATTAGTGAAAATTTTCTCCCAAAACGCGCGTGCGCCCACACACCCCCCCCAACGCTTCACTCCACCCATTTTCCTCCAAAAACTACATCAGTGAAGGTTTCTCGCCCATGACACACGCAGAGGAGACAACTGGGTTTAAAAGAGCCGGCTGCAACATTAAACTAAGAAAGGGGTGAAAAATCACACAGCACAGAGAGTAGTTTGCAGGAGGCTCTGTGACCTTAAGGGTCAGCTTCCACACTGGAAAGAGAGCGCTGGAAAAGAGAGTTTGAACCCAAGATTTCTTTATTTTATAGCGGGGACATTGAGGCAGAGATAAGGTGTCAAGGGTGGTGTCTTGCTTCGTGATGTCCTGTGGTCAGCAGATTGATTGACATCTTGGCAAGTAACACCCATCTCAGGTGCTGTGTAGGATCTTAGGCAGAGTTGAGGGGGAGGACACGTGCATCATGTAATCACTTCCTGACAGGGAGCTCGAAATGCCAGGCCTATCCCCTCAAGTGGCTACTATGCACAATAGTTCACACCTACAGCCCATGCATAGCTTGTGACAAAGGTCCTTAGTATCTGATCTGTAGTTATATCTTTGAAAAGAAAAGGGAAAGATAAATAAAAATGTTGGAAGTCACATTTGTACTGCAGCAGCAGTGCAAGGGTCAACTCCAACAGCAGTGATGGCGATGGCGGGCCAGCACTACAGCAAGGGCTTGCCCAGTCTATTTTTCCCAAGCCCCTAACCAATGAGAGAAAGGCTATGCAGGAAAGGCATTCCTTGAGAAAGAGTGGCCAAAACAAGGAGAAAATTATATGTCTGAGAAAGAGTTAGTAGTCTGGATTGGCAGCCAAGCTTAGTGCTGGTAGTTACAATCACTAAGTTTTGTCATTCTTGGGAGAATGAAAAAAAAATATTTAAAATTGTAACTTTGTCCCCAAATCTTAAGTATACTGGTATGATGTGGTATAGAAGAGGAACAATAAACTTTGAGGCAATAGGTTTGTCTAGGCCATGGAGAAAGGTATGTGTACCAGGTGAGGGATCATCTCCAATTCTTTTCCTAGGAGGACCAAATCCCATCTCCTTATTAGCTCATGTAAAGATTTGGGGTAGTCTGAAGAATGTGGCACCTATAGAATTAAACTTATATCTAAGTACAAAGTACTCTTCACGGTTTCTCAATACTGAGTTTGAATCAGTATGTTCCTCTTTTGCCTCAGGGTAAAAGTCAAATGTACATGAAGCTTCAAGCCCTGTAGCATGAGTTTGAGAAGTGACATGAATTGATTACAATTATTTCATTCCATTCCATTCCATTCTGCAGTTATTTTGGTAGAAAATGTACTAGATGCTCTAGGGGATAAACAAAAACAATACATCCTGATGCCAGTTCCCATAAGGGGGCCTATTATTCTTGTCTGCATTTTATTCACCCTATTCTAATAAGTTGATTTACCAAAAGAAGTATTCCCTTAAACCCTCATCTACAGTTCACCTGGTCTATGTTAAGTGTCAGAATTATGTCAACCAAGTTAAGATCCAGATAGTAATCTATGTGCTGTGGGAATGGGAGATGGAAGGAAACCCTAATGTAGAACTGCTCACTACTGAACTTGAACCTAAAGGTTAACAGGGCTTCCAACAGGAGACACAAACCATGCTTATCAATAAGAGGAAGAGAATAAAGAACAAATCTTGTTTGCATACTCCTGCCTGTACCCTTCCTCCCTGTCCATTAGGTATATTAGATCTGTATTTTCCATTAGTTCATTTATACAATTGTAAATTATTTATTATAATTAAATACAAAAAATTACTGTACAGAATTTAGAGATATGTAATAAGAACACTAAAATCATACACAATCTCACTTTTCAGAAATAAAAACTATTAACATTTTGGTGTATTTTCTTCCTTTCCTATGCACATATTTTTTTCCACAAAGTTGAAATCATACATATGTGTATATGTGTATTAAATTTTATATTTCAGATTTTTCCAAAATTGTGTAGAAAGCATTTTCACGTGTTATTTAATTATGCCTCAAGAATGTAATTTTAAAAAAATGGTTGCAGAATAATTTCCCAGCATTGAATATTATGTTGTTTGTTTAGTTCCTATCTTCTGAAATTGTAATACCTTTTTTCACCTACAAATATAGCTTTAGACATATGTCTCATGGAGCTCTTTGCTAAGGGTTTGAGGCAATGGTAATAACATTATCTCTAAACCCTTTCCCTAAGGACTGTCACGCAACTATCCCTTCAAAGACATATTGACTCCTGACTCCACCTCACTTGCTTCTCACCTGACTGAATCAGAGGGACAAGCTGTGATATAGGTAAGCTCTTTCCATAAAGGGAATATTTATTTGGGAGATATTATTAGCCATGATTGTGAACAGGAGAGTCAGATGAATGACAGTGTGACAAAAATGTTGAGGTATCTAATTGTGTACCTGGTTCTTTATGCTTATGTCACCACATTAGAGCTAGTATATAGACTGTTCATTGTTTTTCTGCAAGCCAGAGATGAAAAGGGTTTAAGCCCTAAAGGCATGACCCAGGTACAGGGCAGGAATTTTCTGTATTTGCATAATTTATACTTGTCTTGAATAGCATATGAATGTCTTTTATGTTTTTGGCTTTTGTTGTTTTAATTTTTCCTGTTATATAGTGAAACTTTTTAAGAATCTTATGCAAGATTCAATATAATTTAGTTAATTCAAGAAACACTTATTGGACCTACAATGTATGGAACACCATGATGGATACATGAAAGGCGAGGAGGACCTAGCTCTGCCTTAGGAAACTTGTAGCCTCATAGGGGTGATGAGATGTACAAATAAATAACCATAAGACAAAGTAGATCATATTATAACAATATTTACTATGGAGAAATACTCACAAAATACTGCCATGAGGAAAATTAAACTGAACACTAAACTGTATATACAAATTGATTTTTTAAAAAAGATACCCATCAAAAAGCCTGAAAGTATAATCAAAAATGGTAATAGTGGTCTTCTGAATGATGAATTAAAAGTGGGTTTAATATTCTTCTTTATTTTTTCTATTTTTTTAAAAGAACTTATAATAAACCTGTGTTACTATTAGGATCATTACATGTAAACTTTATTAAATGAGTGAGAATATTATATAGCAGTAAAAAATGCAGTAGAAATGCAGAGGAGCAAAGATCATATCTGACTGGGATGGGGGAATCCGAAAGGCCTTTGGATTTTTGTTTTTCATAATGATGAAAAACTTTTATATCTTGGAAAAAGATAATGAGATTTTATTGAGTTGAAAGGCATATTCCTACACCTTTTTTTTTTTACTTTGACTGTAGTCCTTCTCTCAATTAAGTTTCTATAACTCTAGTAGCTGCTAGCTGCCATATTACCTTTAATTTGTATTAGTTTAGATATGTCTTTAAAATAATTTAGTATACCTTCCATGGAGAGGTGTTCTCTAAATAAATAGATTAATTCAAACACTATTCATATTCCTCGTTAGTGTATATAGATTTGCCAAAGAGTCTTTAAACACTTGTACCACTGACCCTAGAAATGCTTTCTTTGGTCATTGGCTGGCAAGCACTGCTGCTTTATCTCCTGTTCTGAGACTGCTGTATTTGTTAATATTCAACCCGCAGATCACATATTTTCCAGGGTCTAACAGGCCCGTAGGAAAGAAACTTATTGTAATATTCCACAAAATCATCTGCTAAATCAGCCCATGAACTTCCTGTTCTTTTGATGGTCACCCTGGGAGATGGGGCTCCCTGGAGTGTGTGCATGAAGTGCAGAGGTTGTTGGGACAGAGCTTAGGGAGAATGTACATGCTTCAGCTAAAGTGTGGGAGTTTTAACTCTGTGTGCCCCTGGGTGAAACTGTTATGTTCTCTTTGCCTTAGTTTCCTCAAATATAAAATGGAGATAATAATAGTACCTATTTATAGTCTTATTTTGAAGATTAAACTTGGCTTTAGTAAGCATTTGACATACAGTTGCTATTATTATGACTAGACTTGGAGGATTGTGGTGGGGTTTCCCCCTGTCCATAATAGATAACAGGAAGAAGAAGAGGCAAGAAAATATGCTGAGAAGGTAAGATGATCTCACCTTTCTTTCTTTGAAATAACAATGGACAAAAGAACATGCAAAAAAAATCGTTGGTGTACAATGTGATTCACGCAATAATAAAAGTATGTTCAAGGTAAAGAAGGAATGATTAACAGGATATGGGATTGGAAGGGCTTTGAGAGGACTACTTGGGCAGAGTTTTTGAATAAGTGAGTAGTAGTGATGCTGATGCAGGATATGCCTGGGTTTGGAGAGCACTGTGACATTGGAATGGTACTGGAGGAGTGTATAGTATGGGAGATGAGGCCATAGAGGGAAGCTGGCTTCAGCTTACAAGTGTCAGTGGCTTTACCTCCATGTAGCTGTGCATTTGGGTTAGAGCTTCTCAAAGGAGGTGAGTGTTCCCTGAGTCCTTTCTCCCACCCCATTCCAGAGCTGTCCTAGGCCCCTTAAAAATCATTCCCATTAAAGTGCAGCTTTGGCTGGGCAGTCTTGTTTAGTGTTGTCACGTTTTGTTTTTTTTTCTGTTTGGGAAATATTGGTCCCTAACTTCCCAGATACACCTGTATCTGTAGTTATCACTCCTCCACCTCCACTTGCCCCAGAAACATCCAGAGAGGCCAGTGAACGTTGCTTGGGATGCTGTCAGTGTTCCCTCAAATATCCTCTTCAGGGCTGACCTTGGATCCAAATAATTTAACTGTGGCACATCTATAGAGACAGATTTACTTATTATAGAAATAAAGTTCCAAGTTCATATGGCAAAACAAACCTGCCCAGGATCAGTGGAGTGAGCTTAGATGACATTCCCACATGAAATACTGAGGTGCTGGAAGTGTCTGTTTGCCAGGTGTGCCCTGGTGGTCATGGGGACTGAAGGTAGTGCCCATGAGGCCCTTCATCCTACCCAGCAGCATGTGACTCTGGTAATGATAGTCCACACTCTTAAGTGAAACAAATGTTCTGCCTCTCTCTCTCTCTCTCTCTCTCTCTCTCTCTCTCTCTTTTCTCACAGAATGTGTTTCTTTTTGGTGTCTGTCAACCTACTTCTGCTTCTTTATGGTAAAGGTAAGTCTTTTTTCAAAAAATGTTGTGGGTATATTTAAATAGCCTTGATGACAATGAGGAAACAGTGGTTTAAAAATTAAAGTCAGACAAATGACTTAATCACTTCAAACCTCCGACTTTGTGAAATGCAAATAACTTGCTATGCAGGAAATGGTGAAGAGCAGATGGGAGAGTAACAGGCACATATTGTAGGGCATTATTGTGGTTCTTCCTTCTTCCTCCGCCTTTTTTTGTAGTATTGGGGATTGAACCCCTGAGCTACATACCCAGTCTACTTTTTTTTTAAACAACTGCCAACCCCCACCCCAATTTAATCTGTCCATTTGAGGCCATATCTGCATGACTATCCTTATTCACACCTATACTGAGAAACTCCCAACATTTCAAGTGACTCTGACAAGTGCCAATTAATACTATAGTATCCAGAGTGTTTGAAATCAGGTCTGATCTGAAAAATCTGAATGAACAGTCAGCACTGGGTTTATGTAACACTTTGTACTTAATTCTTCAAAAATGTTGGTAATGGAACAAGATAGAGATGTTAGAAATGTTAATTTAATTCCACTAGCCAAAAGTCTATAAGCAAAAATTTCTTAACTGTTACTAGGTATTCAAACCTTACAATATAACTACTCTACACAGTGATCAAACATTTACAGGCTTCAGGCATGGGCCTTCTTTCAGGGACCTTCAGCAGTTCTGCCAGTCTTTACAGGTGGCAGCAGCTGGAAGACATCCTCAGGTTTGAGATAATTCAGGAGAAAGTGCAAGGCCTGGCCCACCAGGCTACATTTACTTGCTTTTCTTCTTTTGCTTAATGTGTGTGTGTGTGTGTGTGTAAGGGGGCAGTCAGGCAAGGTGAGTTGGCAATCATTCATCATCAGGAAGAACAAATAAAAGGAATGAGTATATATGTAGATGAGAATGACAAAGGTGTGTTTATTAGTTCTAATAGCATCTTATATTTTATAGCAATATTGTCAACCTAACAATATGTACTTGGTATTATAGCAGGCATTTCAGACACCAACAGTTTTCTTTCTACAATTTTCAAAGTGTTTTCCTGCATTATTAGATTTTGTTGAGCTTTTGCTTCCAACTCTTAGGCCTTGGGAAGCTAAGGACACAATGATCTAGAAATAACAGAATGAAATTAACAAAGGTGATATTTAGATTTAAGTAGGCCCACCTGCAGCCACAGCCTTCAGAAGCTGGCTTTTGTATTGCCTGTTACAGCCTCCATAGATCACATTTCCTGATTCATTGGCTAGCATCTTTGGATTCCTGCATCTGAGACTCTTTCCCCTGGGACCAGAAAGGGTACAGCTGTAGCAAGACCTTCTGGGTAGACCTGAGAAGCTATAATGGAGGACCTCTCATGAATAAACTATATATTCTTGTGAGAGATTGAATACTAAGTGTCCACCCATCTGCTCTCTCCCTTCTCTTCCTCTGGGAACTTGATTGAACCCTGTAATATAAAAACAGTCCCTAAGATCCCAAGGTATTTCATAACCCAGAGGCAGGTTCTATTATTCTAATTTCATATGAGGAAACTAACCTAGAGAGATTAAGTAACTTGCCTGATGCCAAATGATTAGTAAGTGGTTACTTGGAACTAGAGCTTGAATTTGTAATTCTTCAGACCAGGATTTTAATTAAAGTTAAAATAAAATTGAATAAAATTATATTTAAGTTTTTTAATACTGGGGCTGGTACTTGGGGGTACTACCACAGAGCTACATCCCTATCCCTTTTTACTTTTTTAAGAAGACAGGGTCTTGCTAAATTACTGAGGGTGGCCTCAAACTTGCAATCCTCCTGCCTCAGCCTCCAAAGTCAGTGAGATTACAGGTATGTGCCATGATGCCCAGCTAGACCAGAATTTTTAAAACACCATAAAAAATTATGACCACAGCCAAAAAAAATTAATAATTTGAGCAAGAAATCACCTGGTTTTTGAATTTTCAAATTTATCCTTATAAAGGAACATACAACTGTTTCTCTCTGCCTCCTTTTTTCCATCCTGCCTTTCTTTATATTCATTTATTAGTCATTAATTTGTTCATCAGACTTTTTGAGTGCCTACTTTAGGAGATGAAAAAGCATGTTTCAGATGGAAAACTTTGGAGTCAGACTCTAGAGTTTCATTCACAGTCTATTTTTCATAAGTCGTATGCCTTTAAGCAATTTACCTCACCTCAGTATGCCTTGGTTTTCTCAGTAGTAAATTGGGGATGATAATAGTACCTATCTCAATGTAGTATACTGATTAAATGAATAAGCCAGAAAAGCTCTTAGCATATGTTTAACACATTGTAAACCCTAAAAAAACAACAACATAAAAAACCAACAACAACAACAACAACAAAAAACTACCCAATGTAGAATGTAGTCAGGATAAAAGAGAGGTGTGTGTGTGTTGCGGGTGCGGGGGGGGGGGGGTGGGGGATTGTAAGGAACTGGCTTATGGAAGCTGAAAAGTCCCAGTTCTGCCATCAGCTAGAGGCCCAGGAAAGCCAGTGGTACAATTCTAGTCTGAGTCCAATGTCTGGAGACCCAAGAAGAGCTTAAGTTTCACTTCAAGCCTGAAGGCAGCAAAGGATCTAACAGGCATTCAGGTGGGAAGGCTTCCCTCTTATAGGAAGGTCAGGTTTTTTTTTTTTTTTTTTTGGTTCTCTTCCGGAATTGGATTGGATGAGGGCCACCCACAGAGGAAGGGCAACCGCTTTACTCAGTCTATCCATACAATGTTATTGTGATCCCCAAACATTCACAGACACACCCAGAATGATATTTCATTAATTATGTGGGTAATCCCAGCAACAGCCATGTGGCTACTGCTAAGGAACTTGTAGACTGTTATTCAGCTGGAATATCCTTTGCTGTCTGTCTGCCCCCCTACTCTTTGATAGGCTGATGTTTTGGATGCTTCCTTGCCTACTAACTTTGATCATTTGTATTTGCTCTTAGTACTTCACTTATTTTTAATTCTATTTCTTTCACCTTATTGTATTAAACAACATCCTTAGGCTCACATTGACTGATTCTTTCTCCTTTCTACTGTTTGTCACCTGCACAGTATCTCTAGAAGGAAAAAAAAAATACCTTTCTTACTAGAGTGCCTACTTTCATAATGCTTAATTAAGCCTCATTATTCTCTTACTCAAGTTGGTAATTTAATTAGTCATATAGGCTTAAAAGTTTGGTAATGGGCTGGAGATATAGCTCAGTGTAAACACTTGACTAACATTTGTGAGGATCTGGGTTTGATCTTCAGCACTCTTTAAAAAAAGCCTGGTAGCCATAACTCTAAAGGTCTTTCTCTCTCTCTTTCTTTCTCTCTCTCTCTCTCTCTCTCTCTTTTTCACCAGGAATTGAACCCAAAGGTGCTTAACCACTAAGCCACATCTCCAGCCCCTTTTTATTTTTATTTTGAGACAGACTCTTTTGTTAAGTTGCATAGGGTCTCACTAAGTTGCTGAGTGCTGGGCTTGAACTTGCTATCCTCCTGCCTCCCAAGCTGCTGGGATTACAGGCATGTGCCCTAAAGGTCATTTAATTTTTTTTTTAGATGCACACAATGCTTTTATTTTATTTACTTATTCTTATGGTGCAAGGATCGAACCTGTGCCTCACAAGTGCTAGGCAAGTGCTCTGTCACTGAGCTACAGCCCCAGCCCCCTAAAGAACATTTTTAAACCCTGAGAGACCTTATTTTTTTCTTCAGTGCTTCTGATATTTTTTTTCGTTTAGTTATAGATGGACAACTAATTTTTGTTAGTCATAGATGGACACAATATCTTTGTTTTATTTATTTATTTAAATACTTTTAGTTTTGGATGGACACGATATCTTTATTTTAGTTATTTATTTTTGTATGGTGCTTGAACTCAGTGCTCCAGTACCCCACATATGTAAGGCAAGTGCTCCACCACTGAACCACAGCCCCAGCCCTTGTTTTATGTATTTATTTATTTATTTACGTGGTGCTGAGGATCGGCCCAGTGCCCCACAAGTGCTAGGCGAGTGCTCTATCACTGAGCTACAACCAGAGCCCTGCTACTGATATCTTAATATGTGACCTTGACCGACTTTGCTTCCTGGAATCAATTTTGTCTTTTAGTAGCAGAGATATTTGAAAGAATTCTGATTTGAGAGCCCAAATTTATAACTAAATTAAATAGGTATTGTTCTGGTTGAAGAAGTAAGGGATTGGAAATACCACTGATTTAGTTTTTATCTGGCCATTGGTGGCAAATTCCAAGGTGAGTTCTGGGGAAAACAGTTTGAGAACATTGAAGTAGGTAGCCTCTAAACTTTTTTCCAGCTATAACATACCAGGATTCTAATTCATGTTGTGATTCTATGAGTGTACATAGTGTATGGCAGCAATCCCCACAGATTTATTTACTGAATCTCTGTTTCTGCCTTTCCAGTGACTTTTTGGATTACTGAAGCTAGAGGGGGAAAAAAGCAACATTTCCAAGATTGCTTTATGGCAGAGTTTTGGGAGTGACACAGGCTCTGCCAATCAGCTGCATTTGCGCAAGGATTAAACTCACAACTGATCGAAGTGGGGAGAAAGGTTATAGCGCATGAGGCATCCTTTCTTTTGCCAATGTGAGTCTGGTAGGTGCAATTTGGCTCTGAAGCCACCACCTGCAGAGACATCTTTCTCACTCACCAGCTTCCTGATGAGGCAGAGGCAGCTGCAACTCTGGCAGACCAACTGTGCTGTGTCATTCTGAGCCTAGAATGACGCCAGGGAGGACAGAACAAACACATTGCAGGTCTCAACATCCATGCCCCTTTTAGTCTCTTTCCTCCAGCCTTCCAGTTATTTTGTAACCATCTAGTTCCCTGTACTAAATCCTTTTCTGCTTGAAATAGCAGAAGAGGTTTCTTTGATCTGCTTTGGAGCCTTACCTGATGCTGTGGTCATCAGTCTTTACTAACCCCATTTCTTCTTTGACATTCTCAGTGTCCCCAGAAGAGTTGCGGGCCCACCCATTCACTGATGTGACCCTCTCCTGCCATTTCTCCTTTGTGGAAGGCACAGAAAATCTTGAGTTTTCTTGGGAAAGAGAAGATATCACAGAGGAATACGAGGTAGAGAATGATGAGGAATATTACCGCTTTTTCAGACACTATGATTTCTTTGCAATTCACTCCAAGTTGGTTTACCAGTTTCACAATAACACAGAGCAACTAGAAGATCAAAACTCCTTGTATGAGGGAAGAGTCTCTGTAGATCGGACTGAAATTTCTGAGGGGTCTCTATCACTTCTACTAAGAAACGTGGATTTCATGGATGAAGCTATCTACAAGTGCTCTGCCATCACGCCAGATGGAAGAGGCGAAAGTACAATTAAGCTAATAGTAGAAGGTAAAGGAATTTAACAGATGAATTTGATTTCAAGCTCTGTCTCTGTTCGTCTGTAAGTTTTCTCTTCTGATATTCTCCCTTTCCCTCTTCTACTCAAACCACTTAGGGTTCATTTTATTCCTATCACGGGATCTAGGGGCTTGGAATGTCAATTTATCAAAGCTAAAAATATTGCTCTGAACAAAAAGTGCATCATTCATTCATCAGTACAAACAAAACAGCAACAGTAACAACAACACTGGTCTAATCCCAAATTTTCCAAATTTGTGACACTAAAACCCCCAAATTTGATAGGATATAATAGTCCTATATGAGAAGACCCTGAGATCTGATATGTGATTTAGTGAGAATAGGTCTGCATTGGGAGGCAGAAGGCCCAAGTTCTGGAACTTGGTCAACTCTAGTTTGAGCAGCTCCCTTAGCTTCTCTGGGCTTTACTTCTCTTGCTATTAATGTAAATTGGACTGAATCAATGGATCTCCATTGTGCCCCAGGTGTCGGTACCCTTTGCCAGATTACATGGACAGCTGTCTTTTGCTCACCAGAGACCTCATGGGGATTGAGAGTTCTGCATGGCAGAATTCTTCCAGGATAAAAGTAGGAAGAGATGGGAAAGTGGTGGTGGTGATTTGTTATCTTCTGAGGTCAGTGGAGAGCCTGGAATAAACTCACATAAGAAGGGAAGATTCCAAAATTAAAGGCAGCAGTGGTAGGCGAGATCTGGAAGGCAAGAGCATACATGTGTCTTGTTCTTCTCTTCTTATGCTTGAGGTAAAATTTTAGTTACAGTAAACCTTAAGATGAGTTGCCTTCATAGGGGGTTAATGTAAAAACTGAGGGTAAGATTTCTGTCACTTCGAGCCTCTTGGGGATGAAATAACAAGAAACTAATTGTCTTGTTGTTTTTTTCCAACTAGATTCTGAAATGCCCCAGGTGCGGTTTGACAAGATTGATGATGAGGACGTGGCCACCTGCGTCTCTAAGGGGTGGTACCTCACACCCAATGTGACTTGGATGGACAGAGCAGAGCGGGACCTGAGCAACCATAGTACTGTGGAGGTCCTGGAGGAGCAGATAAATGGCTTCTATAGGGTGTTCTCTGTCCTGAGATACCCAGTCAAATTAAATGAGAAATATGTCTGCCAAATAACAGAGACAGATGTGAACAACCAGCCCTTTAGAGTCATCCGCAAGTACCCAAGTAAGTGCAAATTTAAGAAGAGGGAAAGTAGACTGCATTTCACTGTAAAAAAAAAAAATCATAATTCACTAATACTTTCTAAATAACAAATGTATCAGACACTCCTGGCACTTTGGGGATTTAAAGGAGAATCAGGAACATAAGCTGGTAGCCTCGAGCAAAAGAGGGTAGTGCAGAGAAGTCTCTCTAGGTTCAAAAAAAAAAAAAAAAACCACCTTTCAGGGACTGACAGCTTTTACCCTGATAGATGTGGCTGTTACCATTTATAAGGCTTCTGTTCCTCTGCTAAGAGCATCAGTTTTATTATGTGACAGGCTGAGTACTCATGGCAGCCATTTATCAGCCTCTGACCATGTGCCTGTTACTTTACACATCATTTTAAGTCCTTTGCTCAACCCTGCAAGGTAATTATTATCACTGTATCCCTTCTACAGAAGGTAAATGATTTAATTAAGAACATAGCTAAGAAGTACACAATTTGAATTTTAGATAAGCAACAAGTTATATTATATGTATGCTAAATAATTGTTACTTACCAGAAATTCACATTTATCTGGGTGTTCTAAATTTTATCTGACAACCCTGGGGGAGGTGAAGCTCAGGAGCATTTAAACCTCTCTGGAAGAACAGAAAGAAAAAACTGAGAAACTTCTTGCCTGGTTAGGAGGCTACCATTGTGCAGGAGAGTGGTTCTCGACATATTGTCCCCAGACCAGCTCAGGTTCCACCCAAAACCTACTGAATAAGAAACTCCAGATTATGCCTCGAAGTTTCCTTTAACAAGACCTCATTGTGACACATAATCATGTTTGAGAACCACTGATGTAGGACATGAGCCCTAGGTGAAGACACCCAGAGCATTTCTGTCCTATCCCTTCCTGTAGGGTTGGGGTGCCATCTCTTCTGACCATGTCCAGCAGGTGAGGAATACAGAGTTCCCTGCTCGTGCCCTAGTCCAGTAAAACAAGAATAATCAGGAAGACTCATACATTTAAATTTCACACTTCAGTTGCCTTTCCTTCAAAGAGGGGCTTACGTATTCCCGAGACTTTTAAGGCTTTCCCACATACTTAGGAGTTGTTAGAGGTCTTTGAACATTACAGTGGGCCTCAGAATCTCCTGAGAACACCAGAATATGTTATTAATGAATTGATTTCAAAGAAATCCTGTTTTTTATCACCTTAAATTTCAACACCTTGAAAAAAAAAGTCCCAGAAATACTTAAAAGGCCCCTGTATTTTATTTTTCTTCACCTCTTTTCATGTACTTATTTATATAAGGCCTTTGAGATCTGGCATCTGCTTGTTTTTCTAGCCACGTAGCAACTGTTTCTCAGCAGGCTGCCATTGCTCATTGCTCTGAGCTTGCTGATGCCTATGGTTTCTAGGTTAGGATGCGTTTTTCATATTGCCTTTGTACAGACTCCATGTTCTTACAAAGCCTTTGTTTTCTTGGACTGCCTCATGAGTTTCTCCTGCCTTCAAAATTTGGCTCAGACTTTAAACTCTTATTAATTCTTACTCTTATTTCAATTTGTTCAATATTTTATTCATTCATGGGTCAGATATTTGTTAGGCTTCAACTGCATTAAAGATGCAGCATGGAAAAAAACAAATCTCTGCCCTTGTGAAACTTATATACTAGTTGTGAGGAGAAATAGAAAGTAAATAAACAGATTAAAATATAAAGTATGTCACTGTATGAGTCCATTTACATGAAATAAAAAAAGGAAAAAAGAAAAATTAATTGTAACCCTGGAGTATTGGTAACATTCTGTTTCTTGTTCTGGGTGCTGGCTATATGATTGTACTCAGTTTTTGAAAATTAATCGGTCTGGACACTGGCATGCACTTTTATGTATCTGTATTATATTTCAATATAAAGTAAAACATTGATATAGTGTATCAGATGGAGAATAGTCATATAGAGAAAAACTAAGGAGAGAAATCAGATTAAAAAGAGGGGCGAGGGGAGAGTTGTAAAATAGGCTATCCAGAGAAAGTCTCATTGAGATGTTAAATTTAACAAAGACTTGAAGGAAATGAGGGAACCAGGCCCATAGAAGGCTAGGGCTGGTGGATTGGAAGAAAAGCAAGAAGACCAATGATTGGAATAGAGTTCCTGAGAGTGTATGAGTTAAGATCAAAAGATAACAGGAGGGGCTGGGGTTGTAGCTCAGTGATTGAGCACTTGCCTCACATGTGTGAGGCACTGGATTCAATCCTCAGCACTATATAAAAATAAATAAATAAACAAAATAAAACTGTTCCAGAGTTGGATTGTTAAACAACAATAACAACAACAACAAAACAACCAGGAGGCTAGATTGTGTGGTGCCTTATAGGCCATTGTAAGGGTTTTGGTTTTTGTTATTAGTATGGGAAGAGATGCAAGGCTATTGGATCAGGAGTGAAATGATCTAAGTTTTAGAGAGATTTTTTTTCTAGCTACTCCTGAGAATGGACTCAAGAAAGGCAAGGGTGGGGACAGGGTAACCAGCTAGGAGATTATTATAATAATCCTGGTAATAAAAAGATGGTGGTTTAATCCAAGGTGTTAATAATAGAAATGGTGAGAAGAGATTGGGTTATGTATATACATACATACAAATATATATGCATATACATATATATGCATATATATATATATATATATATATATATATATGTTGTAGATGTAAATAAAATAAATACCTTTATTTATTTATTTATTTATTTTTGTGTCCTGCTGATAATCAAACCTAGTACCTCACATGTGCTAGGCAAGTGCTCTACTACTGAGCTACAACCCCAGTGTGCTCTCTCTCTCTCTCTCTCTCTCTCTCTCTCTCTATATATATATATATATATATATATATATATTGTTTTTAGTTGTAGTTGGACACAATACCTTTATTTTAAATTTTTTATGTGGTGCTGAGGATTGAACCCAGGGCCTTGCAGCTGCTAGGCGAGAGCTCTACTGCTGAGCCACAACTCCAGCCCCTATGTATATAATTTTGAAGATAGAACAAATTGGATTCACTGAAAGATTAATGATGGGTGTGAAGGGAAGAGGACTCAATGATGACTAAGCCTTTTGCCCTGAGAAAATGAAAGAGTAGAATCACCACTTATTGTGATTAAGAAATCCTGGAGTTTGTTTTGGAACATCTTAAATATGGAGATGTCCATTTGAGACATTAAAAGGGAAATGCTGAATAGGTGGTTTGAAATGAAATTAGAATTTAGGAGAGAGGTCCAGAGTTGAAACATAAACCTTGGAGTTGTCAACCTATGGATGGTATTTCATATTATGAGGCTCAGATGGACTCTTCAAGGGAGTAGATATAGATAGAGAAGAAGAGGTCCAGGAACTGAGCCCTTGGCCCTCTCAACATTCATAGGTCAGAGAGATGGAGTGAAACCAGCGAAGGAGAATAAAAAGAAGGAGACAGTAAAGTAGACAGGAAACTAGGAGAGCGTCATCACTTGGAAACTGAAGAAAGAGTTTCAGGGAGGAAGGAGTGTTCAATGGTGTTGAAAGCTACTGGTGAGTAGTAAGTAAGATGAGGACTGAGAATAGATCATTGAGAGAAGAAGTATGAATAAAATTTGAAGCCAAGAATAGATCACTGGAGTGCTAACATGGAGGATAGTTTGCTTCACAGAACAGCAGGGGAGAAATGTGTACTTACTGGAAAAGCTCTAGAGTCTCACTTTTAATTTTCTTTTAGATGTCTGAATGTTGATAATGAATAGATGGAAAGGGTAAACTGATGATGCAGAAAAAAGAGGGAAATGACTGAGTAATGTCTTATGTTAGGTAGAGGGATGGAGTTAGATAAGGGTTTGTGTTAGATAAGATTATTTAAAAGGAGGGTTTGTGTTAGATAAGATTATTTATAAGGGAGGGTTTGTGTTAGATAAGATTATTTAAAAGGAGATAAGACAGTATGTGGGACCGGATGCAGATAGGTGGGTAGTATGGTAGTGTGAGGATGTAAAAATTCTCTTATGTTGCTTCAATTTTCTTAGTGAAATAGGGTGCAAGTCATCAGCTAAGCCTGAGACTAGGGATGGCAATGTTGAGGAGAAAGAATGACATATGCATCTAAGAGAGTAATTAAAAACTATAACAGGCTTCTTAGGTAGTATTAAAGGCACTTTTGAGGTCCATGGTCATGAAATTAAACACACACATGGTTGGTGTGGTTTTCTGCAGCCTCACTTAGCTGCTTGAGTGTGGACACATAATGGGAAGTAAGTTGGGTTAAGCAGATGTTGGAATTTTGCCAAGAATGCATGACAAAGGGAGACAGATGAGTGTTAAATAGTGATTATTATGATCAGCCCTGGAATCTAAGCTGGGTTAGGGAAGATGAAGGATGCAAAGTGGATGAAGGACAATGAAACATGGTAGAAGGGCTGGGGGTGTAGTTCAGTGGTGGAGCATTTGCTTAGCATTTGTGAGACACTGAGTTCAGTCTCCAGTACGGGGGTGGGGGATGGTGTAGGGTCATTGGATTTTAGGTGTTCATTACAGTAAAAAAAAATGTTAGAGTGGGGGTACTAGAGAGAGTGAGTTAGAAAGACAGAAGGGGAGGGCAGTGGTTACAGAGCAAGATGCTTACAGTTGAGATAAGGGAGAGGTTGTGATTATTGCTAATGATAAAACGTTAAGTTCTAACCATGGGGAAGGTGGCTATGATATAGAAAAACGTCCCTGGAAAAGAGATCAAGGACCAAAGGAGATCAAGGGGTGGATCATATATTAGATAATGACACCAAGAATTAAGAACTAGTGATAGAGATCCTGCCAGAGCCAGCAGCTAAAATCATGGAATGGTGAGAGAGGGAAGAGGGACAACAGAAGACTGCAACATGGAATGGTAGATTCTAATGACATTCAGTTTTAAGGTAGAGGTTTTGTACAGAGGAAGGAGGGAGAATGAGCTGGAAGCCATAATGAGAAACAAAGTTTCACATATCCCCAGTGTATGAAGGATGTTGGAAAGAAAACCAGCACATTTGAAAAGATTACAGAGAAAGAAGTATCCTTACAAGAGATCCAGGTTTCAGTTAGAGCAAGAAGGTAAGGGAAATGTTAATTAAAGGTAGAATAGAAGGGATTTACTGGTGATTTGTGAGGCAGATTCCAGCTGGTGCAGTAGAAGGGTTTCATAAGTTAGGAATATTTCAGGTTGGGGTCAGAAAAGGAAAATTCAGAGTCATATGTGACTCAGGGTCCATGAGATAAAGAGTAAACAAGGGGGCTTAGGGCTGTTTGTGGTTAAATGTATATAAGGAAAAGGATGCAATAGAAGACGTGGATGTTTGGAGACAGACCGTGATGGCAAAGCTGTCAACGTTGTAGGGGAAAGAGATGAGAGTATGAATAGAGTCACACAGAGTTCTAAGGTTCCTCTTCACTTTTGGTGATAGAGGTGTAGAGGTCAGGGTGAAGTGGAATTATCTGTAGTAAGAGGTCTCTGGGACTCCCTTTTGATTCTTGTGGGTATGACATGGAAACTGGAGAATAAGAAGCAGGTCAGCCAAATAGAGCAGCTCAGATTGTATTACAATTCAGGGGTGCTCTATTCATGTAGCTCGCATAAGACTGGCATCCTGGAGGAGAGCAATGTGACTACCCTGGAAAAACACACTCTTCATAGCACCTTGAACACATCTTCAAATTTGTTGCACTGCTAGAATTCATTATTCATCTTGTCACAAAACTGTGACTCTCTCACTACCAAGAATTAAGTTTTCCTATTTCTCTTTTATGGCTCCTCACATACAGTAGGCTTCTGGAATAGGTGTTAATTCTTAACTCCTGAGTCTTATCATTATGGACCCAGAGATACAACATGACTTAGAACCTTGACATGGAAATGTCCAATCTCTTGATTTCTTTTCTTAAGGAACATCAGAAATATTCTCCTAACTTCCACCCTACTGGGCTCACAAGCTAACAAGCAGACTCGGTGGTCTTTCCTTGCTGGAGATGATTTTCTTCCCACACTGAAAGGATTTGCTTACCTGAAGTCAGCTCCTCTTTTGAGTGGCCCAGCCCCTTGGGCCTAATAGACACATGCTAAGATCCTGGACCTATATTGCTTCTGTTTTCCTTTCCTCTCTCTAAGTTTGTCAGTTCCTTTCCTTTTCTATTCTTTAATTGTTCTCCAAACAACATTTGTAGAATGAATAAATCAGAATTTCCTTATACAAGTGAAGAAGAATTGTACATTGATGAGTAAGTTCCCCCTAAGGAAACTACCCTTAGAGGGTTCTTAGCCTTAGAGGGCTACCATTCTTAGGGAGAACAAAGAACTCATTGTTTACAACTATCTTTCTTGTGTGACTTTAAGAAATACATTTACAGCTGACTACAGAGTTGCCTTTAACACAAAACTCCTATCTTTAATGTTTCCTTTATATCTTCTTTTTTTCTTTGCAGAGCGAAAATATCCTCAAGGATATGACTTCTATTTAGAGATTTGAACAACATCTGCCCAAGGATTCATCTTGCCTTTTAGCCACTGAGACACCTATGATATTCTTTTTGTCTCAGATACCTACCTATCGTAAATAGAAAAAAGTAAGAAGGTAGCAAGTCCAGAGGTTGCATATTGAGTAAACCTATAGGAGCTCCCATATTTTACCTCTCTTATGTCTGTATGTTGAAATCTTGTTTATCTCAATTTCTCTGTTTTGTTAAGATTTACTTTTATTTGATCTCATGCCTGTCATGTGTTAACACATGAGTAAAATTAAACATCTTAAGTGCAAAATGAAGAGGATTAAAAGCTTGATGAACTGTCTACTTTGTGTATATTTCATGGTGTGTGCTTCAGTGACAGATGACTTATTGGGGAGTGCAGAGCAGAGAAAATCTGCTCTGTGTTTTCTCTAAGCCAGATTTTGTTTTGTTTTTGCTGATGATGTTACATGGCACTTTGCTGACACAAAGGGGAACCTGAGAAAGAGGCATCTTCCTAAAAATTACTATGGATAAAGATTATTATATTTGTTAATATATTTGTTAAATATTTGTGCATTATTGGAGAAAGGACATAGAAATCTTGGAAATTCAAGAAGATGAAACTAGCCTTTAAAATTTTTTGATTTGTCCAGTTGATTTTAGAGTCTATATTATTATTATATCTCATCTTCCACATTGTTCCTTCCTATCTCTATGCCTTGTATCCACCTATTTTGTGTCTCTCCAAATTCATTTGTTGAAATCCTATCCTTCACATTGATGGTATTAGGAGGTGGAGCTTTGGGAGGTGATTAGGCTATTAGGTTAGAGTTCTTGTGAATGAAATTAATACTCTCATAAAAGAGGCTCAAGGAAGATCCCTCTTCCCTTCCATTATGTGAAGATGCAATGAGAAGATGCATCTATAAACCAGAAGTGGGGCTCTTACCAGATACCAAGTTCATCAGCATCTTAATCCTGGACTTTCTGTCCTCCAGAACTGTAAGCAATACATTTCTGCTATTTATAAGCCACCTAGTCTATGGCATTTTATTACAACAGCACAAACAGGCTAGGGCATCCTGCTTTGTTCCTTTTTTGGGGTAAGGGATTGGGATGTCTTTCCAATGGTTTGGCATGTAGGAATTGAGCTTGGGTTATGGAAAAGAGGAGAAAAAGGTCATGGGATAATAAGGGAAATGAAAACTATCTAGGAACCAGAAGTTTTGTTTTTTAATTATTTTTTAGTTTTAGGTGGACACAATATTTTTGTTTTATATTATGTGGTGCTGAGGATTGAACGCAGTGCCTCGTGTATACTAGGTGAGCACTCTACCACTGAGCCACAACCTCAGCCCCAGAACCAGAAGTTTTAATTGGCTTAAAACTCAAGATTTTTGAAACTTTGGATTCAGTGATGAAATAATTTCACCAGGGCAAAGCATATGACTGCTTCTAAAACCTTCACATAGGATGCCACAGGAAGGAGGCACACCAGAGAGATCTGTGTAGCTGTACATATCTGATGTCTACATTCTGAAGGTAAATTTTCACAATGAGAAACCTTTGAGGTATGCACCAAAGATCACAGGGGAATCCAAACCAGCTGGTATGACTCCCACATACAGCATCACTGGGGAGACCAAGTTGAGTTGGGGATCCCTTTGTAGGGGACTTCAGAGTCCTGGCCTGAGTTTCACTCACATATTTGCTTAAACCAAAGTGAGAGGAGGGGCAGTTGTTAGAACTACATGAAGAAATGTGTAAATTAATTATATATGCTAAGCAATTACATTATGAAGAACAGTGATTAGAAATTAATAGTTCATGTTAATGTGACAATCTTTAAAGGAAAATATTGTGATAAGGTAGAATGGGCATACTTGGAATTGAATCCTTTGTTCTTTGCTAGTTGTGAAGCCTTGGACAAGTTCCTAAACTTTATGGACTGCATGTTCCTTATCTGTAAAGTATCTTTTCACAGGGTCATTGTGAGAATTCATAGAATACATAATCAGTGAAAACAACTGGTAAAAATAATGATATTTGACACTTACGTAGTACTTTCCATGTGTCAGAAACTACTTAAAAATTAACACACATTAGCTTATTTCATCCTCAGAAAAAGAAACAAATGAGGTAGTTACTATTATGCCATTTTGAAGAGGAAACTGAAGCATAGGGAGGCTAAATAACTTTGAGAAACATAAAAGGTAAGAGAAGAGCCAGGGTTTAAGCCCAGGAAGCCAGGTTGTTAAGTACTACATTATATTGCCTCTCAGTGTAGTAACAATCACAGTTAGAACCATGTTCTAATGTAGGTCCATTATGAAGATGTTGAAACATGAAATTCAGAATGACTGGCATTCATGAAAGACAAAGAATATATAAAGATATAAAAATTACTTGAGCAATTACTGGATATGTTAGTTTATTTAAATAATGAAGCTTTCATCAGCAGCCAGGGCCATTACATATTCATTTTATTTAACATGTATGGCAGCATCATGATGCATTATTGTTATCTTCAGTTTGTAGAAAAGGATAGCAACAAAAACAAAGGCTTTGTGCTTAGCCTATCAGGCACTTTGAAAACTTTTAAAATACTTTATTTAATCCAATTTATATATTTATTTCATTTAATTCTCATAATAGCCCTCTGAAATACTTTCTGTGTTTTGAGATGGGGGTTTGTCTATGTTGCCTAGGCTGGCCTTGAACCCCTAGGCTTAAGTAATCTTCCTCTCTCAGTCTCTCAAGTAGCTGGGACAACAGGCATGTGCTGCAGTACCTGGTTCCAAATTACTATCATCTCCATTTTTATAAATGAGGAAACAATCACAGAGAATCTAATTTTCCCAAAGTGGTACAACCATAAATAACAGAGTGGGATTCAGACCGAGGTCTGGATTTCAAGCTCTTATTTACTCTTCTACATCTTTGGATCGCTGCATTTGCTGCTCCTACTAAATAGACTTTAGGGAAATTCTACTTGTTCAGATTTCAGGTTAGAAATTTCTCCCATGGTTTCTGATTCCAGAGCACTGGTCTTTTCTCATAATATGTGCTTTGTTCTTATAATATGATTACAAGCTCCCACATAGACTACTGACCTATTTCCCTGAGAGAAGATATTGAGTTTGACTACAGTTGTAATCCTAGTCCCCTTCCCAGGGCCTGGCACATAGAACACACACACAAAAAAATCTGTTCAATCCTACATGTTCCCTTCATCTATTTAGGCTTCCCAAGTCTCACCTGTTAACAGTGTATGTATCCATATTTCTTTTTAACAGATATAAAATTACTTGACAAAATAGAGAAGTTATTTACATACCCAAAGCTCTCTACAATATAAATTAAATAATGCTTGGTTTTGCTCATTATGAATCAGAATCTTGATAGGACCCACCTGGTAGATAGCTAAGTGAGCCATCACACAAGGAATGGTATAATCAGGTTTTCATAAGGTATCAGTTTTTGAGAATGTTTAGGCACACATGCAGAATAGAACTACCGATGGTTTACCCCACTTATTCTCATATAATAACCCATAAAGGCTTTTATTTCACTCAGTAAAAGCTAAAGTCCCTACATAGCCTTTTAGGACCTCTCCTCGAAATCCCTAACCATGCTCCGTCTTTGTCCTTTGTCCTCCACTTCTTTGTCCTTATTTCTACCTCTCACCATCTTCACTTCAGCCCCCAAGTGATATTCCGGCACCACATCACCTAGCTAATTCCTTCTGCTTAAAGTCTCTGTTGACCTTTTCAATGGGGCCTGTACTGACCACCATTTTTGAAAAAATATTTATTTTTTAGTTGTAATTGGACACAATACATTTATTTATTTATTTTTATGTGGTGCTGAGGATTGAACCCAGGGCCTCGCATATGCTAGGTGAGCGCTCTGTCACTGAGCCACAACCCCAGCCCCTGACCACCCTTTTTAAAATTGCAAACTGAGGCACTTTCTCATCTGCACTCTCTCAATCTTCCTTATCTGCTGAATGTGCTCCTTATCACCTTCTAACATACCACCATAAATTTTACCTACTTATTATGTCTATTATCTATCTGTCCCTGCTAGCACATAAACTCCACAAGGCAGAAATCATCATCTCTTTTCACTGGTCACTGATGAGTCCAAGCACTCACAATAAACTCTTAGAAAATACTTGGAACAGGGCTGGGGTTGTGGCTCAGTAGTACAGAGCTTGCCTAGCACACGTGAGGCACTGGGTTTGATCCTCAGCACCACATAAAAATAAATAAATAAAATAAAGGTATTGTGTCTATCTACAACTAAAAAAAAAATTAAAAAAGAAATAAAATGCCTGGAAAATAGTAGAGACACAAAATAATTTGCTAAATGAACATAAATGGTGTTGATTTCAGTCTCCATTTTGCCTTTACTGTAGAAATAGAAATCACCCTTAATAGATAATAGAATAATTGTAGTTCAGTTTGGATCCACCTCTGTACTGTGCTTATTCCAGTTGGAATACTCTGTTCTGGAATATTCCCTGGGTTGTAATGGTAGATTTAGTTTATGCACTCCCTAACGCTGGCAATGACTACATCACGCCACTCTTATCCCCGTGAGTGGACATTTTCTGTTCTTTTTGAGGACTTCAAAGTTCTGCTCTGGCTGTTTTCTGTCCTTAGGCTTCAATAATGGCACAGAGTTTAAAGTTTTTTTGTCTTAAAGCTAGAGAGGAAAAGATGGATGAATTAGTTTATATAAATAGTGAAGCTTTCAACAAGACAAAGAATACTATAAATAAATTCAAAAGGGGGAAAATAATTGCCACACTTATAACAAAAGGCTACTGACATGAATCATAAATCAATAAAATAAAGGCCAACAACAAACAGAGCAAAGGAAATGAAATAATTAATGGAAGGATGCTCAATCTTACAAAATAAATAATATAATCAACCAATTAAAAATAAAGCAACAAGGAATTTCATTTTTCTTCTATTAGTAGCCAAAAAAAAAAAAAAAAAAAACTGTTTGCAAAAAATGTAGGGAAATAGAAACACTTAATGTATGTCCTTTTGGTGGAACTGTCTATTGATACAACCTCTTTGAAGGACAACTGGCAATTATAAGTATATTTATGAATGTATATGTCCCCTAAGAAGATGATTTTGTTATATTTTCTTCAATACAACTTGGGATTTTTTATTTCTAGGTGTGCATACTACTTTTTCAAGTATAACATATTAAATAATTAGAAAAAAAATTCCTTTTAATTGACAGGGAGACTACACGGCAACATTTTCTTCCTACCCCATGCCATTAAACAATCCCCAGCCCAGCAGCAGTAGCCCATGCATGTCTTCATATCCCACATCCATGTTAGATGTGCTTCAGGACTGAGAGCATCTGCTTACATCTTATCCACTCATTCATATTCTATTTTTCTCTCCCCTCCCCCTCATTTTAGAAATAATTGGAGGACTTATAGAACTTGATACAGCTACTCAAAAAACTAATGCTAATTAAAGCAATTTATGCTTATATATTATTTATTCTTGTCTAATTCATAATATTAAATTTTAATTATAGGAAACTTATCTTCTGAAGTATGTTGTTCTATTTTAATAATTTTTTACTTTCTCAACCTACATATGCTGTAACAGTAGGAAAAATGTTTCAGAGCCTGATGGGAGGTTGGGCGAAGACAGCCAGGATTTAACATGATTATGACCAGGCATGGTGGCACCCACTCATTTGAACAATTCCCAAATCCAATCAAGGTTACCTGGCTATAATTTTAGGGAAGCAAGGTTTATACAGATATAAGTGATATTAAGAAACTTTAAAACTTATCAAATGTGTTCTTTTAGAAAGATAGAATTAGTGGTTCTGGGGAGTGCATCATAGTTATGAAAATGGGAAGTTGGAAAGCAAGTATTGCTCATGTGTCTTGAAGGAGGAGCAGAAAGAAGTCTTAACCACTTATGATTTAACCAACCAGCATTTGGTCTACTTGGAAATATTGATCCCAAAGGGAGTATGCATAAAGGAAGTCATTAAGGTATTGCAACCCGTTTCCAACAACGATTCCTTGTTTCACCTTCCCAAGTTTTCTTGGTTTCTTATACAGTTTTATCTGTAGTCAGCCTCATTAGATGCCATCCAGTCTCAGAAGACTCACTAGGGCCTTTAAGAGTCATTTTAGTTTAATCTCTTCCCAATATAGGAATGTTTCCTGCCATGTTCTGAATGTTTGTGTCCCCACCACCAACTTTCACAGGTGGCAAACTAATGCCCAATACAATAGCATTAGGAGACGGGATCTTTGGGAACTGATTAGGTCACAGGAGCTCCACCATCAGGAATGGGATTAATGCCCTTATAAAAAGGGGCTGAATAGTTTGCTCAAAAGAGCTTGCTCACCTCTTCTGCCATGTGCAACAAGAAGGTCCCGTCTAAAGCAGAGAACAAGCTATCATCAGACACCTAAACTGCTATGCCTTTAGACTTATCAGCCTCCAGACTGAACAATGAATTGTTTACATATTACCCAGTCTAAGCTATTTTGTTATAGCAGTCTGAATGGACCAAGTCACTCCCTGACTTCTCATCACTCTCTATCCACATCCACCATCCTACTAGCCCAAGTAAACTTTCCCTCCCAGCTGCATTCCCAAAATGTCTTTTCTCAATTTATTTATTTAATTGGCACATCATAGTTATATATAAAATTGGAATAAATTGTGATATATTCATATATGCACACAGCATAATTTGGTCAACTTCATTCCCCAATTTTTTCTCTTTCTTCCCCCTTTGCCCTTACCCTTGGTCCTACGCTTCTATTCTACTGATTTTCCCCCTCTTTTTCTGAGATCCCCCTTTTAATTCCTTTTTTCTCTCTAGCTTCTACATAATAGAAAATATTTGACCCTTGATTTTCGAGTATGGCTTATTTCACTAAACACCCAAGATGCCTTTAGGACAGACTCTTTAGTACCTTTTTTAAAAAAGGTTCCTGAAACTCAAGTTTACTTTTATGAGGAAAGTGGTTATTGTTTGTTTGCACAATTTTATTTGGCCTTGACTGAAGGGAAGGAAACCAATAAAACTATTATTTTATTTGTTTTATTTATCAATAGTAACCAAAAAAAATCAGGAGTTACAAAAACAAGTTAAATGCAATATGGAAGCATACTAAATACAAATACATTTTCACAAACACACAGGCAACAAACCTGTTAATTGTTTCCTGAAGTTTGACTATTTAAATCATAGGCTAAAGGAAAGACATTCAGACTGGTTCACATGGGCTTGTTAGCTGGTGGAAGAGCCCTGCTTTCCCAAAACAGTGATAGTCCAGAGTCACAGCATGTGGGAAGGTTTCCATGGACACTGGATCTTAGCAGACACTGCTTATAAAACCACACACACACAGAAAGCTCAAAAAGCTTGCAGCTATGCCTTAAATGCTTTCAGAGGGCTGAAAGAACTGAACCTGATTTGATCCTGCATGTTCGTTCCATGCAAAGCTCCCCAAACTAGGCTATTTAGCAGCTTTTCCATGAATGGTCCTCAGATCATGTGATCTCATGGTGCAGACAACAGCTGCCCCATTTACACAGAGCAGCAGAACTCAAGAGGAATGTGGATTTGCTCTTGGGAATTCAATGTTGCAGGGTTGGGTAGAGTCTTGGATGGTAATCATTGTTCTAAATGTGACCAGTGAACAGACACTGTGGCTTCTTGCTTTAAACCAACTAGGACTCCTGCCCTCTCTCATTGTGTCCAAGAACTGGCAAAACTTCTTTTAATTAAGGCATGCTGCTGTGAGTTTTCCAAGGCACTTGGACAGGGAGCTGCATTTCAGACTGCACAAGGGGGTGGGGAGGTTCAAAGTATTTTTTAAATGGGATGGTACATGAAAGAATTTTTTTGCAGAATTAGAAGTGAAGTGGAATTTTCCCCTTTCAAAGAGAACAAGGAAAACTACTTAGAAGGAATTCTGGCAGACTTTCTCACAATTGCCTGTGCATACAAACTACATAATATGTAATTTAATTTTTGCAAATGAATTCTTCAAATGTTTGACCTTGTTATGACAAACACATCTAAAACAGGGTAATGAGCGGGTATAATAATCCAAGGCCACAGACACAGGACTGACTGTGAACAACTGACTTCTCCCCAAGGTTCAGTTTGAAAATTCCATCTCTGTTTTTCACCCCCTCAAATGTCAAACTTTCTTTTGTTCTCTTCTCTAAAGGGAAAGCTCTTTCTGACTCCAACAAGAGATTGCCCGTGCCATGCACAGCCGAAGACAGAGGGGTGGTTCTCTCTCTTGCACTCTCCTCCTGGGCACACTTTCCCATGGAGGTCTGGCAAGGGTCATTCAGGCTGAGGTCAAACTTGGACATCTTATTTTTGGCTATCTGACTCTTCTTGTTGATAAGGTTTATCATAAGAAGGAAAATCACAGGAACCTACCTGGCTCTGGACTAATTACCAGAACCACAAAATCTGTCAGATCAAAAGGTTAATGCATTCTTATCAGCTCACTGAGGAAACTGAGGCCCAGTAACAGGAGATTGGGGCCATATCACTGTGCTAGCTAATGGTAGATCAATGAGCATGTTGGAGGCACTGTAAGCCTCTAGCCTTTCAAACAGTGATTTGCCTGAACTTCTCAGAATAAATGAAAACAAATTAACTTTTTGGATCTTGAAAGCTTTATATGAAGACGCTTCATCCCCTGGCTTCTGTCTGAGGAAACTTCTGCCCTTTGTGGTACACAGCTGATCTGCTAGAAGCCAGAGGTGCTGACACTGTAGGGTATATCTACTCTAGTATGTGGTGGGGTTGGGGGGTCTGGGTTACAGAAGTTCCTGTACCAGGAAGAATCCCAAACTCCTTCCACCTCTGAAATGGTAGTACTGGAAAATAATTACAAAAGCTTAATATCTAGTCAAGAAAATAAAATATTATAAAACAACAACAATAATATAATGATAATAATTGAAGAATGAAGTCAACTTACCAAAAAAAAAAAAAAAAGTGTTTGACAGAGATATAGCACCTTTGGTAAAAAGTATTTAAAAAATTTGGTTAAGTCTCTACGGGGCTTGAAGTATACAAGTATCTGCATCATTTGGGCATACCCTCCCAGAAACTCCATCCAAGCCTGCGGGACACAGGTAACTAACAGGGTGGTTGTGTATCTAAAGGCAATGGAGAAGCAGAGATGCTGGAGGTCTGTCATGCTGACAGTAGCAACAGCATGGGCTGAAAGCAGAATGAGTTCCTCTCCACTGTCCTCCTGCAGGGACGGCCTGCTCAGTCTTCTCTGGCACTGCGTGTCTCTCCCTGCAGTCTGCACACAGCTGTGGTGGACTCAGAAAGGCTTCAGATCTGGGTCTGCTCCCTCCCCACCCTGATGCAGTTTCTTTACTTGCCTCTAACCCCAGAGCACAGTTTCTCTGGAAGTACTCCTAGAAATGAAGGCTATGGCCCTTCCCCTACTAGCCAGCCACCCCCACTTCCTTTATTGCAAAACAAATAAACAAAATAAAATTCATTGCTATATAAGCAAATACTGGTGATTTGGCGATTGTAGCAGACACTTGCGTATACTGGACTCAGCGCTGGAGTGGAAGAGAAGGTGCTGGGTTCCAGACACTGTGTCTAAGTGCCTCTTCTTAGATCTCTTTAGTGCTCACCTTCTTGGTTTTTTCAGCTGTTTCCTTTGAGATGTAAGAGAAAATAATCATCAGGGAAATATTAAAAAAATCACTGGCATTTATCTGGGTCTCAAGACTTTATACAGCTGTTATTGACAGATGCATTCTTTTTTTAAAAAAATATTTTTTTTCTAAATTTTTAATTGTAGGTGGACACAATACCTTTATTTTATTTATTTATGTAGTCCTGAGAATTGAACCCAGTGCCCCACGCATGTGAGGCAAGCACTCTACTACTGAGCCACAACCCCAGCCCAACAGATACATTCTTTTTTTTTTTAATGTTTTTAATTGTCAGTGGACCTTTACTTTATTTATTTGTATGTGGTTCTGAGAATCGAACCCAGTGCCTCACACAGGCTAGGCAAGCACGCTACCATTGAGCCACAACCTTAGCCCCCAACAGATACATTCTTATGCTGAATTTGAATTCTGGTAAGTAGGAGTTCTTTACTGAATTCAAAGCTGACTCCATCTGTACTCCTACGAAACAAGATCAGATCTTATTATTTCCATTTTAAGGATAAATAAAAGGATACTGATATTCTGAATCCCACAAGTCCCAGAGAAGTGTTAAGAGCAACAACAGTTTCTGGAAGTAGACAGTCTGAACTTGAATTCAACTGTGCTACTTTCTTGGGCATACTGTGAAACCTGTATCTCAATGTCTTCCAACAGTAAAATGAGAATAAGAAAGTACTGGCTTTTACAACACTGCCTGGCATTTTTCTCAAAGAAGATACACACAGTTAATGAGGACTTAAGAAGATGTCCAACATCACTAGTCATTAGGGAAATACAAATCAGAATCACAATGAGATACCACTTCACTTCCACTAACGAAGCTAAAATAAAAACAATAACAGCTATGTGTGGTGGTGCACATCTCTATCCACAGCTGCTCAGAAGGCTGAGACAGGAGGAGTATAAGTGTGAGACCAGCCTAGGCAATTTAGTAAGACCCTGTGTCAAAATAAAAGAAAAAGACTGGTGATATAGCTTAGTGGTAGAGAACTTGTCTAGTGTGTCCAAGGCCCTGAGTTTGATCCCTAGTAACAATAAAACAAAACAAAACAAACAAACAATAAAAAAACCACAAAAAACAACCAAATTAAACAAACAAGAAAAAAAAAACCAGAAAATACTGACAAGGATGTGAGGAAGTTAGGACACTGTTGATGAGAATGTACAGAGGTGTGGCCACTTTGGAAAATAGTCCTAAATATGGAGTTACCATATGACTCAACAATTGCACTTTCAGGTATATAAGAGAATTAAAAAAATATTATTATGGTTTGGATGTGAGTTGTTGGGTATCCTGATGATGGCAAATGCCTTCATTTATTTGATTGGGGAAGTCTCCAAAAGCAGGAGCCAAGAAAAAAAAAACCTCACCTGTGAGTCAATGCAAGACAGTTCAGAGGAAAGATGATTGGGTTGTGAGAGTCTTAACCCAATCAGTGAATTAATCCCCTGATAGGGATTCACTGAGTGGTGGGGTGTGGCTGGAGGCAGTGGAAATTAGGGCGTGGCTTTGGTGTATATATTTGTATCTGGAAAGTGGAGTCTCTCTCTCTGCTTCTTGATCACCATGATGTGAGCTGCTTCCCTCTGCCACACATCCCGAGAAATGGAGCCAGCCTTCTAGAGAGTATGACCTCTGAAACTATGAGCCCTCAAATAAACTTTTCCTCTTCTATAGTTGTTCTGATCAGATCCTTTTAATCATAGAAGTGAAAAAACAGACTAAAACATACATGTTCATAAAAAAATTTGAAAACATATACCGACACAAAAGCTTGTACAATTAATATTCACAGCAGCATCATTCATCAGGGCTCAAAATTAAAATGATTTAAACGTCCATCAACTGATGAATGGATATACAAAATGTGGTATATGTGCAATGGTATTCAGCCACAAAGAGGAATGAAGGACTGATTCATGCTGTAAGGATGAACTTTGAAAACACTATCCCAAGTTAAAGAATTAGACCCCCCATAAAATAAATAAATAAATAAAAGACCATGTAGTGAATGATTTTATTTTTATGAAATATCTAGAATAGGCAAATCAAATCTATAGAGTCAGAAAGTAGATTTGTGGTTGCCAAGGGCAGAGGGAGAAGAGAATGTGGAATGACTTCTAATAGTTATAGGATTTCTTTTTGGATACTGAAAACTTCCTAGAATTAGTGGTGAGAACTGAATAGACTAAAACCCACTAAATTGCATATTTTTTAGCACTGAATTTTATGACATGTGAATTATACCTCAATTTAAAAAAAAATAATTAGAAAAAAACCATTGGCCACATTGACTGGCCACAGTCAGTTTCCATCCCCAGCCCCTTGCTTCAACTGTTTTGGTGGAAACTGGCATGGCTTCTTACTGCCACACCAGCACCTCTGCCTGAGGGCTTTCTCTAGCTTTGGAAGCCTAACACTGCCTGCATGTTCTGTAGCCAGATATGCCAGGGAATTAATGAACCCAGGTAGCCCTCAGCCAATGGCTGATGTGAGTTTTTGTAGAAATACTCCAGTTCCTCCCATCTCAGGCACAGTAACTCAGTTCCCAGAGTTCCCCAATAGGATTAAGTTCCTAGTGCCCCTGTAGTGCCTTGCCTGGATATTCTTCTTTTTATTATTATTATTTTGGTCTCCCTAAGTTGTTCAGGCTGGCCTCAAACTTGCAGTCCTCCTGCCAAGTAGCAGGGATTATACGTGAGCGTCTTCATGCCTGATCTGAATACACTCTTTATTGCTTCCTTCCTGAGTGCATTTCCCTACATCTCTTCTGCTGTTTTACGGGATTGCCTCCCACATAAATGCTCTACTTGAGTCCTTGTCTCAGTGTCTGCTTCTGAAGAAATTCCCATAAGACAGAGAAAATTAAAAATGTTAGCTACTGTAATTCACTCCCCACCATCTGTTACTCCACTGTAACTTCTCCACACTAGATGAAAGGAATTCCTGTGAAGTTTTTCCTTCCCTTTTAATTGGTTGAACTCACGTACTCACTCAAGACTTGTGAAATTAGGAAAAGAAAGACTAGAAGCTTCTGCTTAAACAATGGACAAGAGATTTTGACACAATCGGTGATAATAATGTCAAAATGCACGTAAAGAATGATCAATAAGGGGCTGGGGTTGTGGCTCAGTGGTAGAGCGCTTGCCTCGCATGTGAGAGACCCTGGGTTTGATCTTCAGCACCACATAAAAATAAATAAACAAAATAAAGGTATTGTGTTCATGTACATTTGAAAAAATATTAAAAAAAGAATGATCAATAAATATGAACAATTACTATCAATAGTAATTTTTTTTTTTTTACTCATGTTAAACATTTCATCTCAGTGGTTTAGTAGCTTTTGTGACTGTGATATTCCTTAAAAACTCAAACGTCAGGGAGAAGGCTTCTATTATTAGATCTAGTCAACAGATAGATAATGCAAGGAGCAGTATCCTGTTAAGACTACACAGCATAGTGGTAGAAGGACAGGCCCAGGACCCAATATTGCCACAGTGCCTCAGTGGACCTCTACTCTGCTAAGAGCGCTTTCCTTAAAGAGGCTTTCAACACACTGACATACAGTCTGAGCAGACCTCTGATTTACTACCTTTTGAATCTTCAGGAAGGAGAATTTTTGTCAATCACAGGTTCTTCTCTGACCATATGGTATTGAACTTAGATCCTTTCTATTGAGGTATGAATCCACTCATTTCTCACTGAGTGTCTACTGCATACCAGGCCCAGTGCCAGATGTAAGGGCACAACGATGAGCAAGTTATGGAGCCTGCTCTCCAAGAGCAGTTTTCAAACTGGGTCTGGGCACGCCATGATAGGAAACACTAATACTGCTTCAGATCATGCTCACTTGCCAATAGCAATTCTTACTTACATAGTCACTCACCAAGTTGTAACTTACATCTGTTGGATCTTGCTGGGCTCTTAGAGGACTTCATCAAAAACTGTATCCCAGTTTGATAATGCATGTGAAATGATATCATGCAGGATCTACTGTATTGAACAAAGTGTGTCTCCTTGGTCTCCTGGGGCAGTGGGCAGTGACTAAGTGGTAGAAGGGCCTGGAGGCAGCAGCAATACCTGAACCAACACAGTGGCCACCACTCACCTGGTGCTTTTGGAGCTCCTGGACATATCTGGTCACCTCCTCCTCTGTCTGGGTCTGGGTCCCCTTCTGATTCTTTCCTGCAAAAATAATCAAAGCTCAGACATTGGCAGCTGTGGTAAGCCTGTGAGGAATTCACTAAGATCCACCTTATGGGTTCTCATTGACCATTTAACCTATGGAGGGAGAGTAGATTGCTCACATTTCTCTTGAGTATGAAGCCATGCAGGGTCTCATACAACTGACATCTCCAAGGTAACACACTACAAACAAGAAATCTACCAACTATTCTCTGGCCTCTGTTCCCAGCGTCTTTCAACTGATGGCACATCATGCCAGGGGCTGGTCTAGCAGAAAAGCTATGTCGAGAACCTGGGTCCTGGCTCAGGAAATTCCTCTGGGGCAGTGATTCTTAATCACTTACATATCCTCAAAATGCCCCGATGAACACTTACATATATCATTGCTGGATGAGGGAGAGCTCACTGGTAGAGCACTTACCTAGTATGAACAAGGACCCACATTTGCTTTTGATCCCTAGCACCACAAAAGGAAAAAAAAAAAGCCTAGCTTTCATCTTCAGAGATTCAAATTTAATTTATGTAAGGTTGGGCCTTTGCACCAGTATTTTTTTTAAAGAGGCTCTTGTGGTGTGCAGACAGGGTTATAAACACTACATTTAGTAATGTTTCCCAATTTTGTGTAGGAACAAACAAAACAACAACAACAAAAAAAAACTACACAGGTTCCCAAGCTCTTCTTTTTGCAGATTCTAATTCAGTACATTTGGGATGGGACTCAGGAATTTCTGGGTATCAATCACAATGTTTACCATCAGGAAACACCAGGCAGTGGCATTGACCTGCCCCTCCCAGCAGTTTCACTTGGCCCTAGCTTCATGGGTCTACAACATCTTGATGTCCCTGCTTGCTTTCTCTTTGGGATTTGTGACCTAATACCAGTTTAATAACTTTCAGGCACTACCCCAGAAATGCCTCTGAACACTGCCTCTATAATTTCCTCTTAGATCCCAGGCCTCCATATCAAGACATGCTAAGATCCCTGCGGTACCACCATTGGGACTGCTCTTTAGTTTTTGTGGTGCTGGGGAGTGAACATGTGCTGGGCCTCAAACACTCTAGGCAAAAGCCCTACCACGGAATTACACTCCCAGTCCCTGAATTATATTTTTATACCCAAACAGAGATCTGAATTGGGCCTTCCTGGGAGGGAGAACAAGCAGTCTAGAGCTGTGTGCCTATGGAAATAAGCAAATGATGGAGGGGATGATTTGAATTTTATCTGATACACGTGATGGGGCTTATCCAGACAATGATGCTTAGGGTTCTATAAACCAGCTGCATGCTGACTCCTGCATCTTAGAAATGGAAGACTAACTTTCAAAATCCAGAATGAAAGCAGTTATGTACTGAAGGTGTTGAGGGAAGACAAGCAAAGGGTGCTTCCTGGTTGAGGCAGGCCCAGCTGCTGTTTTAAGATGTTCTCTGCTGGCTTTAATAGCTACTGTGTGTGTATTCTGGCTATTGCAGCTTGGTCTTGACTTCCAGCAACTTCTAGAAATTGCTAATATCTGTATTCTCCCTGCTCTCTGATCCTACCTAGAATTAGGCTGGTCTCCTGCCCACAGTGAAAATGGACTTGGTCGTGGGCAGTGGTAGGCTAGTGATCCCATGGACAGCGTGAGCCTCTGTTTATTATACTGTTGGTGCTCCTCAGCTCCTTGTCCAGGAGAAGCTCTTCCTAGTTCCTTGGGCTCCTCCTCCCAGTCACCATTTTACCTAATCTTCCTGATACAATTTTAGGTACCAGTCCACTTCTTCTTGCCTCAGCTAACTTTTTAAAATATAATTTTAGGTTCACGCCCTCCAGTGTAACTTTTGGGTCTGGTTCCAACTGACCTTTCTACTCAAACTTAAGGTGATTCAATTCCATTCCAGACCTGGCTTCAACACCCTTCTCTGCCTTGCCTCCAAATTGAATAGTCCCCGGTTCTTTGGTAGGGCTTGATTTCTGCCATCACTGTACCCCAGGACTGTGATGGGACCCTATTGGTTCTAACACAACCTTTACTCTCTGCTCTGTCCCCCTAATTTTTTCTGACATCTTTATCTCCCCATCCCTCCCTGCCCATGTCTCAACTACTTCAACATTATTTCAAAAAAATTTTTTTAGATTACGTAATTCTATAGTTCAATGAGGGTCTACAGATATTTTCATTTTCCCCCCCTGCTAGGTATTTGCAATACTAGGAGTTAAAATGAGGAGTTATTTTGACTTCCAATCACCTCAGTCTTATATACAGTATTCCCTAAAGTGTCACAAGGATTAAGTGCTTAGAAGAATGCCTGGCACATAGTCCTAAATTGGCGTTTGCTTTCATTATGATCATTCCAGCTCATATCAACATTTACACGTGGCCTTGGTCTCAGTCATCACTTGTTTGAAGGCTCAGCTGTGATTTTCAAACTTAATGCATCTGGGCCAAGTACTTCACCTATAGTGCTGCCCCTGGGAGCCCCGACATTACAAGTTTGGGTCTGTTACTCGCTGCTTGGGCTCCTTGTTCCCAGTCACTGTCCTCTTTCCCATGCCCCCAGCTGCTCCTTATTTCTGCCAGGGGCACAGCTCACCATCACAGGTCATGGCTGTGCAGACCCAGTTCCCACAGGCACAGACACAGCGGTTACAATCCACCTCGGTCTCGGCTCCATCTGCATACCTTTCATCCTCCAGGGCGCACTCTGTTGGACCAGAAATAAGACAATAGTTTGGTTGTGAAGGTTTTGCTGTAGTCTGCACCTTGCCCTTTTCCCTGACAAGGGCTGCCTGTCCCTCAGAGGCACCATGGCTGAGCAGATACCCTCACTCAACAGAGACCCTTTTGGACCTTTACAGCACCATGGAGATGATGGGCTGGGGCCCAGTCTAGAACTGTGGAAAGGGATTTTCTCAGCCAGCTCTAGAGAATTCCACCGACCCTCTCTATCTTGGCTCCCCCAAAATGCCTCCAAAACCCTCTCAATTTCTATGTTAGGCATACTCTTCTCAGGAGGGTTGAAAGATGGGTTGAGGCATTTGAGGAACTCTTGGAAGCTGAGTTTCCAGTCGGCATTTTCATCGGACAGTTCAATGAGCGCATCGACACAGAGTCCTCTGCAACAAAACACAGGAGAAACACATCAGCAAGGCTTCCGCCTCACACCCAAGACAGCGAAGAACCAGGCTCACATACAACCGGGGCCTCCAGGAGGCCAGGGAGAGGAGTGTTCATTGACCAGTTTTCTTTCTACACTGACCTGTCTCAAGCACCACCCAGACTGACTCCTATAAGCACCTAACCTTCAGTTTATTAAACTGGATGCCGGATCACTGAAACTTGTTCTAATGTTCTCAAGATGACTCAAGTTTTGTGAATGGTTTTGTCCACTTTGATTGATGTTTTCCCTACCTGCACACCCTCCACCAGCAACTGCCTTCCCACTGGTGTAACTGTCAAGTCAATCGGACCAAAAAAGAAATCAAAACAGAAGAGATGACAGATGACATGAGAAGAATATGGGATTTGAAAGAATATGGCATTCAAGCAAGAATCACACTATCACCATTCTAGAAATAGATCTTTCAGAAGAGTTTTATAGAACTGCAATTCATTCATACCACCCCTGGCTTGGATTTAAGCATTGACTTAATTTACTACCCAAATGGTCTTGAGCTAGTTATTTGACATTTCTGAACCTGGTTTTTCACCTAAAAAGGAAAGACAGCTCTCTTGCTGGGATGTTTTAAGTTTCAAACATTGAAACTGTAAAACCTTATCTGACTTCAGGTTACCAAAATATGAAGGATTTGCAGATTCTATACCTTAAGGTCATAGACTATTTTTAGGAAGAATCCTAGAAGATGGGCTTTGCACTTCTTTTTGAACACAAGAGAGGAGCTTTTACTATTTTTAATTCTTACTGATGTACTGGAACCACACTAGAAGTTTCATGGATATTGATTTTTCTTAATATTTATTTTAGGATAATACCAGAAAAGGAGAGGGATATACATTTATAATAATTAGAGCAATCACGTGAAACAGCACTGACTGTCTAATCAATAGTGAAGCTATTTTAGATTGAATCAATGTAATTCCTTCAGAAAATTAACCAATATAGTATCACCTAAATCATTCAGAAACAACTGTGCTCTGATGCAACCTTGATAATTTAAAATTCCAGTCTTTTTTCCTTGTAAGTTCTGGCCTAAAACTAACTATTTGATCAAATATCAACATATCTGATCAGTATATTAGTTCTTAATATATTAGTTCATAATGTTCACAGAGTAGAACAGGAGAGAGTTCCTATTTTTTCTTCATGTTGCATGGGTGGCTCTTTACAGGTAGGAAGGGCCTCGAGTCCCCTCTTGTAGGCAGCGTTCTGCTTCATCTCACCTGAGCAGCTTGTTGTTCTCCTGGTCTGCATAGGTGGTGATGTTAATGGCAGTTTCATTCTGCTCCACAAATTTCAGGAACTCACTGGAATCCAGGCGAGAGTCGCCATTATCAAAATTCTAGAAGGGTATGAAGAGATTTTCAGGAAGGTTTGTAGAGCCCCAATCCCATCATTGCCTCCCCTGGACTGACCCATCTCTGGTTCATGTCATTCTTGACATCTTTCAGTCCTTCCTGGCCTGGTCCCAAAGAGCGATGGCAATAAAGGCTGGATCACTGTATACCCAGAGAAGGAAGCAAGTGACAGACCTGGATAAAAGCTACCAGGAGGCCTTTCAGTCCAGACCCTCCTCAGGAAGGCAGACTGGCCAGAAGTCCTGAGCTGCCCCCAAAGCCTGGGGTGCCTGAGTGTGCTCTGTGCCAGCCCTAACACTACCTACCCTGCAGACATTCTCAACTTGGGGACAGACCAGCCACCACACCACATTCTCAAACCTGGATGCACACACAACCGCAGGGTGTGAAGTCGCACGCGGTAAATCAGCAGCTGTGAAACCTCAGTGCTTTTAACTCACTGCTCTGGAGCAGCAACACAAGTGACCCTCCAAGTTCCCTTGGGAATCACACAACTCTGTCTTGCTGTATGATTCTAGCCTCCCTGCCATGATCTCAGGGTCTAACTTTCACACTCATACCTATAACTGACCACAGCAGGGTGGTGCAAAGACCCCAATCCCTGAGGGCCCACTGCAGATGTGTGCACAGGTCCAGAGACTACTCCACGCAGGCTGTCCAGACCACCCAGATGATATCCCATGAGTGCAAGGAGAGGGTGTGGTGAGCTCAGGCATTGTCCCTTCATGGTAAAATGCTAAACTGAGACCTCAAGAGGCCCAGGCCATAGCTGCATGAAGGAGTCTATTTCAAGGTTCTGATCAAATTCCACAATGGATGCTGCTGCTCTTCTAACTAGTTCCAATGTCACTCCCTTCCTAACTCTCAAATTCTTTCCCTGGGCTGCCTCATACTGCTACCCTGGGAAATAATCAGCATCCCATGTTACTTTCAAGGTGGCTCCTCAGATGGTACAAGGAATTCTGGAAGGAAAGTTTGTCCAGGTTTCTAGGCAGAAGGGACAAATGTAGCTACTGACTGTATGACTGCCATGTGCCACATGGGCTCCAATCTAAAGTTATAAATCTATCCATGGCATGTGCGATGACAGGTGTATATAAAACAACTATGAGGCCCTTGCTTAGACCTCGTTATCACTCTTGTCCTGATTTCCAGGAGCAGATCTCAGATACTCTTATTCACTATATGTTCTCCCTGAGGAAATTTCCCTGCAGTTCACCTGTGAGGTCTTAATTAATTAAGGGAGCATAATTAAATAAGCTTAGCCAGGAATATTCTTAAGAGCAAAGGACTTTCTGGAGTCCGAATGTTGCATGTGCTGGGTAGACAGAGAATATGTATAGGGAGGGGAAGAATCCCACATTGGCTGCACACTCACTATTAGAGGGACCCAGTGGACACCTTGAACCTGGCAACTGCAGGCCAGAGGCTCTCAAAAGGCAGTGCTGTATACACACATTTCAGTATCACTGGGATCAGGAGGCAGGCTTGAGGCTGAGGGGACATTCCATTCTGTATGTAGTCTTAATAAGGGCCCTGATGGGCCTCCACAGGCCAGATCAGTATGTGGAATCCATAGGAACACAGGTGTGGTATCTGCCCCAGAAATAGCATGAAAGGCCTGTGGGATCTTGATCTGGAACCACAATTCAACATAATTCACTTGGCCTCTGTTCAGTCAACCAGTTACAAAGACATAGACCCTCTGTATGCCTGTACTTCATGGCTCTATATTCGAGACAACAACACTTTCCCTCTGTGGGACTGCTGGATTGTAGAAAGGCAGGAAGATGAATGTTTGGAGACTCATGCTTGGGGCTCATGGTTTTAAGTTTGGAGACTATTCAGAGCAGATGGGCTGAGGCAGATGTTGACTCACTCACAGCAGCTGGGGCAATGGGTACATGACCCCAGGGTAAGGGAGACAAGAAGCCTGGCTCTAGTTTCAGCCCTGGCCTCCAGGAGTCAATCTGGAGTCACAGGGTATGGGTGACATGGGCAAGAAAGACACTTCCTGCTGGTCTTCCCTTCTCCATTCTGTAATTCTTTCACCTAAGAAACAATGAGTGAACCACTGGTTGAGGTGAAAGGCAGATTTTAGCTTTATTCAAATTCTGATTATATTTGCTTTTCCACTATTTTGATGTAAGGGATACCAGTGAGACTTGAGAGCAATTCAGTCTCTGGGAGGAGTCAGATCTGTCAGCAAGCAGCTGTTGACCTAGTAAAGGAGGGAGTCTCCCTGAGAAGACCACATAGGCCTCTGATAATCATTAAAAAACAACAACAACAACAACAACCCAACACTGCCAGTGTGTCTGGGAAGAGGAACGTTGTGTTTGGCAGTAGCAGTCAAACTCAATTGGGAGAACACCCTAGAGAAAAGCTGTTTTCTCAAGGGGCCTTGCGGTTTTCAGCTGGGAGCCTGCAAGAGTATTACTGCTGGGGATGTGAGGAGGTGGAGCAGTGTGGCCTGGATTCTTGGGAATCAAATCGAATAACAGATGTCAGAGATGCCTGAGGCAGGGTGCCACCAAAGGGCAACTGCAAACAGTTACAAGGTCCCAGGAGGCCCCCTGGAAGGAGCTTGCTGGGCCCCACAGCTCCAGCTGCAATGACAGGGCAAAGACACTGTGCACAACAGGCCCTGCAGGAACCACTCCCTCGGCTTTGGAAAAAGCATTTTCTTTTAGTGACTTTTTGCTCCTGTCCAACTCTCCTGCTCAGCAATGTGACATGTTTGTCTATGGGAGAGGAAACACGCCTGCCAAGGGTTCTGTCCTGTGGGAGTAGCTGAGAGAGAGGACAAAGTGAGAAGAGCTAAGCTTTTTCATCTTGGTGAGATCTCCAAAACTTGGAATCCAGAGAGATTTAATCTCTGCCATAGAGAAGCTTCTATCTAAAAACAGTAACACAAGAGAAGTCTTAAATGATCAAATACCTCTTTTAAATCAACTCAAAATTTCTCTATCTGTAGGCTCCAAAATAATAGTTAAAAAATAAGAATCCATAGACTATACTGGTGTTGAGTGGGCTGGGTGCCCTCAGAGCTGCCATGTAGTCCCTCAAGCATCTGAATCTTCTCCCAAGTCATGGCTTATTAGCTCCAGGAACAGCAGGCTTGGGAAGCAAGTGAAGCACCCACCTAGAGATCTGTGTCATAAAGTGAAGGGGGCTTTGGTGCTTCTGTGAGAATGTGGGTACTGGAATGTGGGTGTCTGTGTGTACCTGTCACTGTGATGTGTGCATTTCTGAGGGTGGTATGTGTATCTGATCTATTGTTGCACATGTGTGTATGTGTCTGTGCTTCTAAGTGTGATGTTCTTATGTGTGTCTGTGTTCCTGTCAATCACCTGGAAGAGTGCCCTTTACTGCTTTCTATCAACCTTCAGGCTCTCTGAGAGAGCTCAGGTAGTCCAACATATTGCCAAATACTATTTCCTCCTTCATTTTCCCCTTTGAAACCAGCATCTTTCCCAACCCTAATTAGAATTCAGTTGCTTCAGGTAAATCTGATGGGCGATGTTACTTCCGAGGTTCATGAGGAATCTCTGACCCATGAGATGCCAGTCCATTAACTCTTCTTAGATGAGGAAACTCAGGGCTATGGATGATGAAGTCAGTGACAGAGGAATGTTAATCTGGGCAGGTAAAAGGTTGAAGTGGTTCAGGTCTGGGTGAGATCAGAAGGTACCATGTATCAGCAGCTAGCTCTGTGGGTGTCTTACAGGGTAGGGGACAGAGCTTGGGCATATTTCTCACTGACAGCCTCTCTAAGAACTTTGGTTTAACTGCCCCAAGGGGGCGACACGTGTGTGCTTGATCCTGAAGGTTGACTGCTGGACTCCCATTTATCCAGGGGGTCACAGGGCAACTCCACGGCTTTGTGGGATGGTCGACAACATGAAAACACCCAGGAACTCTAAGCAGCTGCATATTTCCTCCTGGGCAGGCAATGGGAGAAGGAAGCTTCCCCTTCTCTGGGCCTGAACAGTCCTGACTACAACACTGATTACCTTAAAGTACTTGTCTAGGATTTCACTGTAGTTGCTGCCTTTAGAGAACCAGCCGTCTGGAATGATCTCAGCTTCCAGCCACTGGATAATGCGACGCCGAAGCTCATCTCGATTGGCCTGATAGCAAACGACTGCAGGAAAGAGGAGAGAGATAAGCCAGGTGGTGAGGGAGAACCCCAGGGTCATCTGACACCCGCTCCCTGGGGAGCACAATGCCCAGACTCTGAGTCATCCCATCCAATCCCCACAGCACCTGGTGGGACAGGATTATCACACAAGGGTTCACAACCAGAAAGTGTCTAACCAGGAGTCAGGCTAATCTCACTAAAGCATTTATTAAGATTGAGATTGAAAATGTTGAAACAGAGCTGCTTAAGTGAGGAAAAATAGAGCAGAAAAATACAGAACATTTTCATTAGCTTTAGGAAGAAAAAGGGGGAAAACTCAATGAGCAGAGCAGCTCTTCTGGCTCAAAGATAAGCTAAAGTAACACATGAATACATGAAAGCATAATTATTTGTTATGCTACAAGTTTTCTGATTTTCTTTTCCTTTTTTTTCCTGATTTTTCTCTGTTTTTATCAACCAGGTCTATCAAAACTTTCTCCCATTTAAAATTTTATACCACCTTGCTGAGTGCAGTGGTACATACCTGTAATCCCAGTGACTCAGGAAGCTGAGTCAGGAGGATCACAAGTTCAAGGTTAGCCTGTGCTAACCTTATCTCAAAATAAAAAGGGCAGGGGATTAGCTCAGAGGTAGAGTGCTTGCCTAGCATGTGGCAAGCATGTGCCAAGCTCTAGGTTCTGGGTTCAATTCCCAGTAACACACACACAAATACTCTCTCTCTCACACACACACACACACACACACACAGAGGCACACACCACACCATCTGTATCATCCTCTTTTATGAACAACAGAAAACTAGGGCCAAGGAAGGGCCATGTCAAAGCTCTGCTCTGGACAGCTGTTGTAAGCCATGTGGAAGCAACAGGTGGGATCCAGAGTTGGGTGGATGAGGAAACAAAGTAGAGAAAGCCTTGGCAGAAGGAAATTCCTGGAAGACAACATATGTTGGGATGTGAAGGGGGCACGGAGCCAGGGATGTGAACAAGTGGGCATTCTTCTTCACCCTGCCCTTCCTATGCCCTTCATATTCTGTGTGAAGTGCAGAAACTCAATCTCTCAGCCTCAATTTCTTCTTTTGTGAGGTCATTACAGTAAGATCTACCTCTCAAGGATATTATGAGGACCTGGAGAAAGCATGGGCTAAAGCAGTCTGGAACTACAATTCAAGATAAGATTTTAATCTGTACAGACAGAAAAAAACCACAGAAGTCTTACTGGCATTTTCAGTTATCAACTTTCGAAGGGCCTGTCCCTCAAAAGGCCTGTGACATGAGCATGCTTACAGAGTGTTGGAAAGAGGACTTGGTGGCCTTCCTGTCCATGCAGTGTCACTATGAAGTGAAAATGGAAAATAGCTAACACCCCCCACCTCCAACAGCTGCTTTAATCGGCAAGCACTCCCCCAAAATGCAGTGTTTTGCAGCTTTTGTGAGCTGTGTTCTGGGTCACAGGTTCTGAAAACCGAAGAGCTTGTGTGCTCAGCAGGATCAGGCAACACAAGATTTCCTCAGAGATGCCTGCACACGGCAGGAAAAAAGCAGGCACTCACCTGGGCTGGCAGATGGACTTACAGATTTCTTCTCTGCAAGACAAAGGGAAAAATATGTTAACATAAAGTGAAGAAAATTTCTGCGTATTTCTAGGATTAAAACTGCCCCACTCAAGGAGGGCTGTTTGTAGCCTTTCTATCAGTTTGTCTTAAATTATTATCTTTTCCTTCTTCCAGGGTCCAAGGATGGGATCTTTTCTTTTCTGCTTTGTTTGACATTTTGGGTCCACTGGGTTGCCCTCCTGATCTCACACCTCCTCCTGTTGGGTTGAAGGCTTCCTGGGATTTTGAGAATTCACGTGGAGAAACATTCTGGTCAGGGACTACATTGGGTACTTAACACCTGAGAAACAGTTTCTTGTTACTCCAGGGGAGGTCAAGACTGGGAGGGCTGGGCAGGGCGATAGCTTGGCAGGGGGCTGGTGTCTAATTAGCAACAACCACAGGATGCCTTCCCTTTTGCTCTAATGGTAATGGTTTGAGTGCAAAAAAGAAGAAACATAATAGTACCAGGGCTGGGAAGTGCCTAAATTTAATTTATACATTCTGAAAAGTTGTGGAATTCCTTTAAGGACTTTCTTCTTATTATTATATTTATGTGATCACCTTAACTACTCTCTAGCTGCAGGTAGATGCTGGAAGGCCCCTGGGGCCTAATCCATAAAACCCAGCAGGCTCCTGAATGTTAGGAGGGTGCATCTCCAACCAATTGGATGGTCTTCTCAGCTTTGGGTGGCAGTGACCTTGGTAGAAAGGTCATATGGTCAGCCAGGCCATACACCACCCTTCCCTGTCTCTCCACAGGTAGAGTTACCATGTAGTGGTGACAGCATGCTTACCCTTGCAGTGTCCATCATAATCAACCTGGATTTTGGATCCAGTAAGGCAGGCATCGCGATGCAGCTCACAGTGGTTGAGGTAGGTCTTGCCGTTACTGCCACATACAGGCCTCTTGTGAGGTTTGCATTGCTGAAATAGACCCGCGGGAGGATGCTTGTGTGGTTACGGGCACTAACATGCACTTACACACACACAAAGTCATCTTGTGAGGGAACTCCCCACCAGCATAGATGGAACCTCGATGCCGCCGTAGGACAGAGAGCCTCAGGCATGGCCATCAGTGACCCTACCCAACTTGATGCTGGAGGCACTCCAATGCTCAGTCCCTCATGGCCCTCTGTGTCCATCCTGATCCAGAGTCATCTCTTCAATTCAGTGAAGAAATGGATGTGCTTCTATGGCTCAAATATTTGTGTCCTCTCCGAAATTCATGTTGAAACATAATCCCCAATGCAACCACAGTTTTAAAGGCAAGGCCTTCAGGAGGTGATTAGGTCATGGGTTCTTTCCTCATGAATGAGATTAAAGCCCTAATAAAAAGAGACTTCACACAGCATTAGGCCCTTTTGCCCTTCTGCCTTTTGCTAGGTGAGGATGTTCAAGATGAGGATGTTCAAAGTGCCACCTTGGAAGTAGAGACCAGGTCCTCACTGACTTCAAACCAACTTGTGATTTGTAACTGGACTTCACAGCCTCCAGAACTGTTAGAATTAAATTCCCATTATTTATAAATTACCCAGTCTCAGATTAATTAATGAATTAATAGAAAGGACATTTTATTGGGAGTCAGGAATCTGGATTTTTTTGTTACTTTGGAAAAAGTCATTCAATATCTTTGGAAGATCTAAGATCTCTCAAAATTCCAAAAATTTATGACCCAAAACAGCCGGAGCTGGGAATATGGAGATTGATGGGTAGGGAAACACACACACACACATATTTCAGTTCTTTTAGGGACTAATCATAGGGATCTCTTGTTTCGTTAGTATTTGGGGACCACTTTGTTTTCCTCCTAGTTTCACAACCTCTGTTGTGAGGCTGGGGTTGGGACTACAGTAAATCCTTATGGACAGGAATATGGAATAAGGTTCATCTGGCAACGAGGTTCAGCTTTGCCTACTGACAAAGATCACAGTCAAGCTTTGCCAAGACCACAGTCAAGCTTGGTTTCTTTAGACTTTTGTGTTTCTTGAAGGGAAAAAGGAAGAAGGGGAAAGCAAATTCAGCCTAGACCTGATAAAGGGACCGTAACAAGAAAGAGTCGATGAAAACAAACATATAAACTATCTTTATGGCATCTGGTGGGAATTAGTTCACTCAAAACCACACAACTATATGTGGCTAAGCCGAGACTAGACGTGAGGCTTCCAGATCCTAAGTCAGGGCTTATGCCATCACTTTGTAGTCAGTATACTTCTATTGAGGACCTCTCACAGCAAAAGGATCCTCAGTAGGATCAGGTTTTTAGGTTTCCAAGTTGGGAAACTTGCTTTTCTGCAGCAATGGATCAGGGTCCTGAATCTGGGGACTAAGTTGATATAGTTATTTGAGAAAAGACCTGGTTGCCAGGTTTTAGGTTGGTTTGACAGAGGGAGGAAAAAAAGAGCACATATCCAAGGTATTTATGTCTACCTTGGAAGTGAGAATTTACTAGAATCTTGACTAGCTTTCAAAGGCTCACTTTGCTTTTTAGATGTCATCTAAAAACAAAATTGCAAAACCTGCATTTCTGTTCACTATTTTAAAAACCTTGGCACATCTTTTGACCTAGAGCCTTGGAGGCTTGATCCTACAGAAACAAAGGGAGAAGCATGAAAGGAAATTTGTCAAGAATGTTATTGTTTGTGGTGATAAGCAACTCAAAGAACCACTTACGTGGCCATCTATGAAAAAATAATTTAATAAACCTAGTTCTTTTATATTAATAAATATTATGCATCAGTTTTAAAAGGAGTTAAAACTGTTCTGTTCTGGAATGCTGTCCATGATATATTGATGAATGCAACATATAAATTACATATCTTTTTATCTATAAGGATTGTAATTTCATTTTTGCATAAAATAGGGGGAAACACAGGTTTATATTAGCACACACACAAAAAAACCCCCTGGAACAATAAATACAAAACTGATAATAGCAGTTATCTCAGACTAATGGGATTGGACAGTTTTGAGGAAAGATTATTAATTTTATGTCTTATAAATGTTTATACTATTTGGCTTAAATAAAACAATTGCTTTTTGTTTGTTTGTTTCCAGGGTTGAACCCAAAGTTGCTTAACCACTAAGCCCTAAGACACATTCCTAGCTTGTTTTCTTTATTGTTTGTTTTGAGACAGGGTCTCCCTAAGTTGCTCAGGGATTTGCTAAGTTACTGAGGCTGGCTTTGAACTTGCAAGACTCCTGCCTCAGCTTCCCCAGCTGCTGGGATTACAGGTATGTGCCATTGCACCCAGCAATTGCCAATTTTTTAATTAAAAAGCTCTTATATAACTAAACATATTTTTTATAAGAAAAACTTCTACATTAAAAACTATGCATTAGATTTTTAACCCTGGGGAAAAATACTACATGCCTTTTACGTAGACAAGGTGTACTTTTATAAAGATAATGAAATTGTTGGCACTGCTCTGCTTATTGGCAGCTCCAGCAAGGCAGCCACACGGGTCTTGGCCACCATCATTCTGCTCCTGACATAAGCACCTACCTCAATGCAGAGGCACGTGGGCTCTCCCTTCTCTGTGACGGCACATTCCCTGCCGGCTCCACAGAACACATTGGCACAGATTTTGGATTTGCTTCTTAGTTCTTCCTAAAAGACAAATAAAGGAAACCATGTTACTGAGATAAGCCTATCACAGGATCAGCCAATGGTGGTGATTATCTTTCAAGCTTGGACTTTGGTCTGGAGTTGCAACTCATGGTGCTAAAGGGTTTTGATCAGCCAAAAGTTGATCCTCCACAGTCAGCACCATACTCCCTGGCACTGCTTGGGCCTAGGCTCAGGTATCTCTGAGTCCTTAAGATTATTTCTCCATGAGTAAGAATTACTTTCTTTCTTTAGAAAATGATTATCCAGCATCTATTGTATGCCAACACTACATTTAGGGCTGGAGATACAAAGGACAATCCTTTTTCTCAAGAAGCTCTATGACTCTCATGGAAAGAGACATTTAGGAATGAATATATATATATATATACACACACACATTCATATATATATTAATGAAAGTACAATAATAGGGGTTCCAGGGAGCTGGAGGGTAGCAGAGGAATGCAAGAATCAAATAGGACTTTCTGAAGATTTGACGTCTCAAGTGATTCTTAAAGGATGAAAAGACTATGCCAGGTAGTGATAGGAACACTGAAAAGAAATATGAACACCTCATAGTCTAAAACATCATCAGGTGGTGTCAAATACAACATCATCTCAAAGACAAAGAAAGATGGCTAAACCATGGAAATATGGAGTTATTTGATATTTGTCCCCTATACGTGTCTGCTTTGGCTTCAGGAATATGAGGGCCAAATCACCCGAAAGAGAGAACTCCCCTCAAGTCCCTTGCTGGTCAGGAGTCCTGATCAGATGGGTACTGACAGGAGCTAATCTGTTGGTGGCACATTCCTTCCCTCCCATTCATTGGTGGCAGAAAGCCAACTCCACCTCACTCACTACTGAGCCCAGCAGTAGAGGTGATTAAACTAAAGAGAATGAAATTTCTTCAGCCCTTCTTCCTGACTGGCTAGTTTGGCAGTCACCAAAGGCCAAAGGGTTGGCACTGATTGTGACAATAAAGATGGCAGGTGGCATGCTGGGGTCACAGGGCTAGCTGTGGTAAAGGCAAGAGTCCATATTGCAGGCCACAGTAAGGCTTTTATAGCTGGTAAATATGTTATATTTATGAATAAAAAAAAGCAAGAAAACAAAGTAGAGGCTTGAAAGCTGGGGACCCATGGCCAATCCAGTTGGTTTGCTGCCACCCTGAGGCTGTTCTACAAACTCCAGGTTGTTCTCCCCCACCCCACCCCCCACTTGGGGGCTTGACAGTCTTGGAGAGGTCTCCTATTGGTCTAGAAGTAATTTGCATGCTCACATTTCATTGGTTCACATGCTGTTGCTAAACCAATTCCTTTTTGGATGTTGCTAAGGCAAATTCAATAAAGCTGGCAAGCAAGGAAGAAAAGAGGAAGTAATTCCCAGAGGAGTAGGTGGACCAGGGAGCTGTTGTTTCTAAACATGGAATGCTGATAAAATCAAGCCTATTCTCCTGACAGGGCCCCTCTTCTGAGAACTCTGCCTGGGAATGTAATGCAATATCGAAAAGGAATAGGAAAAAGCTATTGCTGATCAGTGTTAAAAAACCACCACCAATAAAAAAACAATCTCAGGATACCCTTCTCCCCACCCGCTCCCTTTCATTAGATGTACCAATCCCTGTGGGTGTGTCCCATCTGCTTCAGACACACAAAAAGCATGCTCAGACACATTGCCTGCACTCAAGGACACACCTGCACATAGTTCCACAAGCAAACACCCACAAACCTCTTCTGGCTTGCTGCACATCCCTAACTAGTCACTTTAATTGTTTGAGCTTCATGTGTAAAATAGGAGTAAATACTATGAAGATGAAACGAGATAATATATTTGGAAGTGCATCACAGTAAAGCAAGCTGCCCATGCAAAGTGTGATTAATGGGAATATCTGACAGAGGACTGCAGAATAGCAGATGACCCTTACAGGGCCTCCTTTTATCATATATTGTTTTTAGTGAGGATTAAAAATAAAAGTTTTTCCTTATAAACTGAATTCAGTACAAGTCATTTTTCAAAAATAGTTTCAAAAATCCATTTGGAGACAATATCTTTGACTCACCCTTGAATAGTACAGTTAAAATTTACAAAGAGTTTTTTTTTTATAAAACTTCATCTTACTGTGTGGACAACCCTGCAAGAACATGTATATTATTATTATCCATTTTATACATGAGGACATTGAAGATCAGAATGGTCAAATAACTTGCCCAAGGTCCCAAAGTTAGAAATGAGAGGAGCTAGGATTCAAACCAGATCTCCAGATAATAGATAACCAAGCTTCTATTTATACATAGCTTCTCTTTATAAAATACCTGCTAAATGATTTATTCTATATTAGACTTATTTCATGTCCAGATGACTTAAGGTTAAGGAAACTAAATGGGCATATAAACTGTGTAATTAATAGGTGTAAGGAGAAAGTGTCGAGGAGCTCGACATCCCACCTCTGTTCCTTCCTTGCCATGGTCATGGACAAGGTACTCTCTTTAAACCTCAGTTTCCTCATGTATAAAATGGAAATACAGATCCTCACAGGGTTGTTGTGAGGACTGAATAAGACATATTGCAGGCTGCAGAGTGTCTGCCGCACAACAGAAAATGGCTGTTACTACAGTGGGTAATTTATTTTCAGTTTTCCCACTGAGACGCTGTCATTGTCACCTTCAGCTGTCATGACCCCATTCTTCCTTGTCCTTGCTTACAGTGGAATAGTAATACTGAAAGAGGAGGGCTGATGGAATGGAAAAAAGCAATGGGCCTAACAACCCCGGAGTCCTGTTTGCAGCGATGAGGGAGGCCACCAGTTATACAACCATTCCTCTTTGCAGGTGACACGTCTGTCAATAGGTGGCAATCTCTCTCTTTGTCTTCCACAGCCCAGAGCCGCAATGCAGAAGTAGTCTTGGCTCCTGCAGCTCTGCCCAGCTGTTTTCCCAGTGAAAAGTGGTGCAGGAGATGAGGAAACAGGACAGACACCCTACAAGAATAGGCAGGAGAATCTGCCAATTTGGGAAGGAATGTCTTCCCTGCAGCCCTCAAAGCCCTCCACAGTTCACAGGCAGGCTTCAATGCAGAAAAAAAAAAAAAAATCAAGAACAAAGAAATTTTTCTCCAGAGTGGTCACATCTTCTTGCCACTGAAAACCCTTCTCCAAGCACCATCTTCTATGGGAGCAAAAGTGTCAGGTGCATCCCTAAGATTCCCAGAATGTTTCTTAAGGTGGAAGGTGGCCTTACTAATCTGTTGAGTGACCAATTCTGAGTCAGAGAGAAAAACACCCTGAGTTGGGAAAAACACTGAATGAAAAGGCTCATGGGCAGTGATGGCTGCATGGTGAGGAGTGTCACGGTGAGAGAGACAGAAAAGAAGTGAGGAAGACAGCAATGATGAAGCGGGGCAGCAGGGGAGGTGGTGAGTGGTGTGGGTTTCAACAGCTGATCTGAGGATCTCTCTGTGGATCTCATGCAATGGCCTTTAGAAGGTTTGGGTCTAGCAGGTGACATGATGAATGTGATGTTTTGGAATGTGAATTTGTATCGAGTCCTTTCCGATTCTGAAATTCTAGTTTAAAGGGCAAGGCAGCCTGGATGGAGAGAAGCTGGAATCAGAGCAACCTGGTAGGTCTAAGGCAATAGTCTAGTCAGGAACGACAAGCTCATAAGACCCCACCTGATGTTAACCACAGCACCTACAACTGAGCGGTATTCTGTCCTTACCACCTGAGTCCCATGTAACAGATGTAGAAAATCTGTGACATATGGAGGCCACATAACTAGTGAAAGAGCTCAGAAACAGAACACAGATTGACCTGACCTAAACCTCGATGTTCCTGTATGAAGTATGGTGGAGGCAGGGAACCATGGGGGCAGGGGATAGCTACAAAGGCTGGCACAGGGTGCAATGCACTTCTTATGAATGAAACAGAACTATCTGGTTTATCGCCATAATAATTTTTGGAATTAGGTCCCAATACTGGAGAAGAATATCACCTATGTATAGATAATCACTTGGGCACATGCATGTTCTCTACGGGCATGAGGCTATAGGCAGATCCATTTATATAACAGCATTAACAGGTACCTAAGTCTGAATTTATCCATGAATTCAATGGGTTACATGGGAGCAGGGGTTATATTCTGTAAGTGTGGGCACCCAGATATAGTGATAAAAATCAACAAAATATTTGCCTCCAAAACAGAGAACTCTCAGGTTGTTCTAGCTTTATGCTTTCATTTCTGACTTGCATCCCTGTTGTTTTCATGGTATGTGTTAAAACTGGGCTCTGAGGATTTGGTTAAGGTTAATTTCACATTGCAGATTCCCTTTGGTAAAAGATTGATCAGGAATATTTCTTTTACCAGAAAAATACTCTCTCTGAGCAACTGTCAGCTATTACATGGAAATAATAATACTTTATAATTATTCATCAATTTTGATGAATATGTGTTTGTTACTACCATTTTTGACTCTCAAGCCCTTTTAATATAGGCAGGCAGGAGGCTCTTCCAGATTTAAGATCCTGTGATGTAAACAAAGCTGAGGTTCACAGTCATAAGTGACTGGTCCAAGATCTCACAGCTGCAGAGTGCAGAGCCAGGTCCTAGTCCTAGGCCTCCAGACTTTAACACCAGTTTCTTTCTACTAAACTGCTTTTGATTCAAAACCAGGAAAGGTATCATCTTGAATCCAAAGTCTTACAAAAAGGAAATTATTTTTGCAAGCAAATGGAAAAGCAAATTATTTGCAAAATCACCAGTGGAGGTGATCATGTGTCTGAGACTCTGGACCAACCAGCATTAGGTCTGAGCATAAAATATACTTTGAATGTTCAAAAGAAAGTATTCTGAAGTCAAACAATTTCTAGAAGAACAGTATGTTTTGGCAGGGGAGGAAGCTTATAAAAGCAAAGCCATAAAACTGTCAGCTTAATATACTGTCATTTCACTAACATGAACTGGGTCGGCTCTGCCCCCTCCAACCTCTTCCTCCTTTCCACT